GTGAGCCCTCCCACCTCCCACCTCCTTCATGCTGCTTTCCGGAGCCAAAAGGCCTCAGACAGATCTCACTTCCACTTCAGGATGTCTTTCCACCTCTAATCCACACCCACTCAAACCTACTTGGGCTCTGCTCAGCCGGGCACAGAGACTCCCTGCGGGCTTTGGGTGCTGCTGTCAGCACAGCCACCCCTTCCCCTTCCCCTTCCCCTTCCCCTTCCCCTTCCTTGTGCCACTGCCTGCCCAAGCTCAGGGTCCTTCCTGGGGCTGTCCCCTTTCTGGGATGATGTGGTCCTGGCTGATCTCTGGGCTCACCCAGGGGTGCTGCTGTGGGATCTGGCCAGGCTAGGCATCCCCATGGGCTCAGCTGCTCCCCTCTCCTGGTTCCTGGGTTTAGCCTCAGTGTTGGGGCTGGAATAACTGAGGAGATGATGGTTCCATTTCTTGTACAGCCTTAACATGGCCTGGAGATGATGCCATGTCTTGGGTCAAGACAACAATTTTTGGGCACAGCCAGATATGGAATACAATGACATTTTGGGCTGCCTGAGCAGCCAGGCTGTGAAGGGCTGTGTGGCTGGGGAATAACTCCCTGAGCCCCCAGTTTCAAAAGGAAGTGTGTTTCATGAGAGAAGAGCCTTGGGTGACCCTTCCCATGGGATTTGCATTTGCTGCTGGACGTGACCATGCTGTGCCAACACTCCCAGTGACATTAAACCCATCACTCTCCTCGTGGTCCAGCTGTTCCCAGCTCTGTTTGCTCCTTGGCTGGGCAGGAAGGACAAGGGCAGACCTGAGTTCTTTTTTATCTTAACTTTACCATTGGTTGTACTTGTTTCAGCCATTTTCTTCCCCTCTTCTTTTTGAAACCCAAACCCATCACCACCACCTTCTCCACTGCTTCCTCTTGGCAGTGGTTTCTGTGCCTCTCCCCAGCACTCCCAGTTTCACTCTCCCACACTTTCCTCTTCATGCTCTCCCAGAAAAATCTACTGGAAATGCACCTGACTTGTGCTGACCCAGCATTTTTAACTCTATGCTCCTGCTCCAAGAGTTATTTTGACTTTATTTGCAGTTTCATCCATCCCTGCTTATAAATGGTAGCGTTAAGTAAAGCTGACATATAGTTTCACTCAACTTCTATAAAAAAATGTATTTTTCAAGCAAAAATAATTTTTCCATTGGGGGAAAAAAATAATTTTTCAATGAGTTTTAAACCCATTTTTCTAGCAGTCAATGAAAAAGTGGACAACCAAGTGAAACATGTTTATCTGCTGTCCAGCCCCATGGGGTAACTTTGTTCTTAATTCATTAATGCTCATTTCAATTGTTCTTAATTCTTCTATTCTTTCATTTAAAAAGCTAAAATCTGATTAAAAATCTGAATTCTCACCAGCAGCTCCCTGGGATAAGAACCCTGGATGAACTCAGAGTGGCTCAGCTGGGTCCCAGCTCCGTAACGATCTCGAGCACACAGCACAGGCCCTTTGCCTTCACCACTCTTATACAAATTAGGCCTGGGACCCTTGGGTAGATCCTTCCTGAATATGATTCCAAGATTTAAACCACTGAAAATCCTCTGAAATGTTTCTGTTGAAACTTCCTCTGGTAAGAGACATTAACGAACAGGAGCAGCAGCAGCGTCTGACACTTTTGCCAGGCTTGGTGTGTGTGTTTTGGAGGATGGAATTGAGGATCTGAGTGTTTGGAGAGAAAGTTGGAAGCTGAGCATTGCTCCTCTTCCCTAGGGCCTCTTGGATGTGGTTTTCATTTATTTTACCAGCTTGTGGACAAGCATGTGGTTTATTGCAACATCTCACCCAGTGGGAAGCACCAGGAATCCCAGCCTGGGGCAGCTGAAGGACTTTGTGTCAGAGTGTGGAGCCCCAAACACACCTGTCTAACCCTGAGTGCAGAAATTGTTCCCTGAGATGCAGAAATCAGGGTGGGTGAATTACTGAAGTGCCAGGCAGGAAAATTTCCCCATTTTCCTGCAATTTTGGGTTGGCCTGATGCCAGTGAGCTTTCCTGGAGCCCCTCAGAGACGTGACCTTGTCATAGAGCCACAGAATGGCTTCAGTTGGAAGGGACCTTAAAGATCATCTCATTCCACTCCCTGTCATGGGAATGGACCCCTTCCAACCTGGCCTTGGAGATTTCCAGGGATGGGGCAGCCACATCTTCTCTGGGCACCCTGTGCCAGTGCTTCAACTTTGTCCCATTGCCATTGCCTGCAGTGCTTGTGCAATCCCTTCCCTTCAGCATCCCTGATTTTATTTATTCCAGCCAAGACTCTGGCCCATGGATCAGGGCAGTAATTATGGGACAATGCATTAGCAGAGTCCCAGAGGATCTGGGATGCTTGTACATGGTGTTTTGTGGTGTTTTGGTGGTGTGTTTTGTGGTGTTTTGGTGGTGTTTTGGTGGTGGGATGGAAGTGTCTCTCCCTCTGACCAGGAAGGTTATTGATGCATTAGAGGACTGGCAGTGTGATCCTGAGTGTGAGTGACAGGAGGCTGCTGGGTGAGGGGTGCCCAAAAAGGTCACCCCAAGCTGGGCACGGTGCCAGCCATGGCACTCTCCTGCCCCTCAGGGCGCTGTGCCCTGGTGTGGAGCAGCTCCCGCTCTAAACCAGGCACAGAGGGAGGGTTCCACAGCCCAGCGTTGAATTTCTGGGCATGTTCTGCCACAAAACCTCCTGGCCAGCCTTGAACAAGAGCTGTGCCCTGGTGTGGAGCTCTAGACCAGGCACAGAGGGAGGGTTCCACAGCCCAGCATTGAATTTCTGGGCATGTTCTGCCACAAAACCTCCTGGCCAGCCTTGAACAAGTCACTGACACCCAGAGCTGGTGGTCAGCAGGTGTTGGAATCTCCTGCCTTAATTTTTGGCTCTCCACACCCTGGTCCTTTTCTGTGGGATGGCAGGAGAAAAAGCATCCCCCTGCTGTTGGGGTGCTGAGGGATGGGCAGGTTTGTGATGCTCTTGAAGGCTGCAGCATCCAGCAGATTTGGAGATGGGCCCAGGTACCAGCCCTCGTGCTCAGTCTGCTTCAGCCAAAGCCTTGGCAAGGGTGTGAACACATCTTGCTGTGCTGGGGTGTGCACAGTGTATCTATCACCAGATGCATCTATGCTTGTCTAGTTGGCATTACTCATCCAATTTTTTTTTTTTTTTTTAGCTAGATAATTTAATTTTTAGGAAAGTTTTGGCCACCTGAAGGTCAATCTATTCAGGTTTTATATGTCATCTGATTGTCCTCAAGTGAAAACAATTAACAAAAAAAAGACAAAATGCAGGAGAACTTCTCCAATTTGTCGTTGTTTTGAAGCACTTTGCACTTGCCCAGCGAGGCTTCACACGAGGCCATCGGGGAAGCTCCAGCTGATAAAATCAGTTGTTCAGACATGGGAACAGCAACAACTTGTCTAGTTGGCATTACTCATCCAAATTTTTTTTTTTTTTAGCTAGATAATTTAATTTTTAGGAAAGTTTTGGCCACCTGAAGGTCAATCTATTCAGGTTTTATATGTCATCTGATTGTCCTCAAGTGAAAACAATTAACAAAAAAAAGACAAAATGCAGGAGAACTTCTCCAATTTGTCGTTGTTTTGAAGCACTTTGCACTTGCCCAGCGAGGCTTCACACGAGGCCATCGGGGAAGCTCCAGCTGATAAAATCAGTTGTTCAGACATGGGAACAGCAACATCCAGCAGCCTGGACTGAAGGGATGGTTTGGCAAGGAGTGGCAGTGCCAGGCAGGCACGGCCACAGTCAGAGCTCCGCTAACGAGGGCAAGGGCCACTAATGGGGCCTGGCCAGGAGCCTGCTGAGACACTGCGGGAGCAGCACGAGGAGGACACCGCTGGGGGAGTCAGGGCCAGCAGCCTCCCCGTGACCTCAGATGTCCTCCAAAGATGGTTGGGATGCAGGACCCGTGTCCTCCTGTGGGTCCAGGGGAGCACGTTTCCCTTCTCAGGAAAGGTCACCAGATCTTTCCCCCCAGGGTGGCAGCCCTGCTGCTGCCAGGCCCTGAGGTGGGCTCTTCTGCTCCATTCCCATTCACTGGCAAACCCTGGATAATCTTATTTCATCCCTCCATCCCCCCACCCCACAAGACAGGGGTGCTGCTGCTTCTCCAGCTGGATGGGGGCACCAAGGTAGGGATGGAGGACACAGTCTCAAGCTGCATCAAGGGAAATATAAGCTGGATATTAGAAAAGAGTTTTTACTGAAAGAGTGATAAAGTTCTGGAATGTTCTGCCCAGGGAGGTGGTGGAGTCACCATCCCTGGATGTGTTTAAAACAAGACTGGATGTGGCACTGGGTGCCAGGGTTTAGTTGAGGTGTTGGGGCTGTGTTGGACTCGATGATCTTTAAGATTTCTTCCAACCCAGTGATTCTGTGATTCTGTGGAAGGGGCTGTTCAAAGCAAGTCAGGCTTCTGACCTCCCAGCAGACAGGGGACAGCTGACCTTGGTCTGCATTAAGAAGGAAATCCTGTGGGCTGGAAAAGATGCTAAAAGAAAAAAAAAATCAACATCAACCCTAAACCCCCTAAGTGCCACAGTCTGTTACTGCTTCCAAAGCTTTGCTGTGGACTTTAGGGATGGTGATTGCACCCGTCCCACACCAAACCCTGCCCTCTATCCCTGGAGGGGCCATTCCCAGAAGCGCATGCCAAGAAATTCCCCTTGTGCCGAGGACGAGGGGCCGGCCGTGCTCCGGCCCCGGCCTTGGGAAGGCGCTGGAGGGTCCGCGCTGGCTCCGGCTTGCGTAAGCTTTAATCTAAAGTTGGAGATGTTTTGAGCTGATCTGTGTTAATGTTGGGAGGAATTAACATGCATACGGGGAGACCACGTGATGCCCTCCGACCTCCCCCTTTTTTTTTTTTTTTTCTTTTTTTCTTTTTTTTTTCCCGTTTTTTCCCTGACTCACTTTAACGGATTCCTGCCAAATCGGAGTGGCCGGAGCCGGGCAGGGCCGGGCTGCCACGGCCGGCAGGATGCCCGCGGTCTCTGTCCTTTACAAGGGAGCCGTCATCATCAGCAGGTAACGGGGAGGGGGCCCGGGGGGCCCGTGGCTTCCACTTGCAGCCCAGGTTGTTCCCTGTGGCTTCCCGGGAGCAGGGATGGGAGGCAGGGATGCAGGAGGAGCCCAGGCCAGCGTCGCTGTCGGGTTTTCTGCCCTGGTGGCGTCCGCAGGGCTCGGGGCTGCGGGGCGGCCGTGCCTCGGAGCGGGGCCGGTGGTAAGGGCTGCTGGCAGGGGATGATGAGAGGAGCTGATCGCATCAAGGAGGCGTCTGCTCCGCTGAATCTGCGGCCGTGTGGTGCCTTTCCCGCCCGTCCGAGAGCCCGGGGAATTTCCTCGGTGATTTACTCGAAATACCCTGAAAATCCTGGCTGGAGGATGGAGCCAGCCCGGGCCCAGGGCTGCTCTGCCCCCCTGGGATGCCTTCGAGATCCGTACTTCAATAGCCAGATGTGGCCAGTTGTTTGTTCAGTCTTCAGTGAGGTGTAAGGATGGCAAGAAGGGCAGTTTTTTGACATGGAGAAAACACTTCCAGTCCGAATTTTAGAGGTGGAAGTTACTGCCTTTGCTGGATAGCTCGATATTTTGAGTTTTATTTTGGACTCCTGGTAAGTCCCTGCAGGTTATTCTTATCCTGCATCCTGCTGGATTTGGAGCAGCCTCTTGTTTCCCACGCTGCTGTTCCTTCTCATCCATATTCAGATGTGGGACCTGATATCCCAGGAAACTGGGAAACACCTTCTCTCTTGCCACTTAAATGCTGGGGAATGCTTTGGTGCCTCCTCACCCCTGGTTTCCCACCTGGCACGTCTGGGTTGGTGTTTCTCAGATCAGGGCTCATCCATCCTCAGGAGGCCAAGGAGAAGTGCTGGTGGTCCCAGGTTTGGAGTCTGGCATCTGTGGTTGGGGCAGGGTGTTTTTGGGGTCATTCATGTGGGACCTTGCCTAAGGTGTTTAGGGGGAGACTGTGGGATGTTTCGGGGGAATCTCAGGTGTGTGATGCTCTTCCACCTGCTCTGGCTTGTGATGAGAAGCTCCCACCAGAGCAGGCAGGACTTGGAGCAGCTCTGGCATCCCCTTTTGCAGACCCTCTGCCTGCATTTAAAACCTTGCGAGGGGATTGTGCCTGGCCGTGTTCATTACAGGCTGTGTTTGTGAAACTGCTTTATTCCTGAGCACAGCTCCGAGCTCTGATCTCATTTCCCGGGATCTGCACAGCTGTCCAGCCCCGATAATCTGGGGTAATGAATCACAGACAGGTCCAGCAGATTTGCTGGGTGGGGAGGATGATGCTGAGCCCTGCACATATTCTCTCATTTATCTGTGCAGAGCTCGGGGGGGCTGAGTTTTGGCCCGTGTGGGTGCAGTGGTGGGGCTGTCCCTCAGCCTGGGTGTCTGCAGTGCCTGCTGGGCTGGGAGGGACAATGTCCCTCAGTGTGTGCTGGCCGGGCACCTGTGCCTCTGTCCTTCCTGGCCCATGGCAGAAAGCTGCTCCCCTTGTCTCCCCAGGACACTCATGGGACCGTACGGGATGGATCGAACCGTGCACTGCTTCGACTTCTACGAGTGTGCAAATGGGCTGGGTGAGTACCGGGGGCTGGGGTGCCTCGAACAGCCCCCAGAGCCTGGGTCAGGGTGTGCCTCCCTGGGTGCATTCCGGTGTCTCACTGCATCTTGTGTCTTGTACCTGCCTGTGCTGAGCATCCTCTGCTCCTTTTGCAGCTGTGACATTAAAAGAATGCCAAAATCCCAGCTAATTGCATGGTAATGGTGAGCAGCTGGTGCTGGGAGCTGTGCAGGAGCCCAGGCCCACAACCCCTTCCCTCAGCAGGATGAGGGGGAGGGGCCTTTCAGAATTTTTAGATAAAATCAATTAAAATGCTAAATAAATAGAAAAAAACAGAATCCCCAGCACTTCCCTGCCCCTCTGCAGACTTTTCTCCTGGAAAGCCATCCCAATGGGGGATGGAGGGTGCTTCCTGCAGCGCTCCTGAGGACTGGGATGCATGAGCTGCCTTTGGAAAGTTTGGCCCACAGGGAAGGGAGTAAGCACTGAGTGAGTCAGGTGTCCTTCCACAGCACTCTGAACTTCAAAGCATGGAAGAGAAGGGAAAAGAGAAGGTCACATCCATCAGAATGTGAGAAAATCCCAGGTTCATGACACTCAGCCCAGAGGGATCCAGCAGAGCATTTCTCTGACCCCTCTGTATCCAGTGGTGCTCTGCCACGGACTTTATAAAAATCTGTGATCCTGCATCAGGATTTCACAGTCTCTCTCCTAATCCTTAATTGTGAGTGCAGCCCACCCTGCCACAGAGCAGCTGGGGACCTCTTGCTGACACCCCTGAATGACATTTTGGGACAACTCCTGAGCAGTCACCAGAGAAACAAGTTCAGGTTTCCTGAGACCTGAGATTAATTATGGATTAATTATTGGCTGTTTCCAGCTCTGGGTTGGGGGATGGCTTTGCTGACTCTTCCCACGTTCATGAGGTTCATGGGAGTTCAGAGAAATTACTTTACTTGGTGAATATGACATTTCAATCTCCAGAGGTGGATTTGGTTGAGTTGATGGGATGTCAGCTGCTGGGTTAATTACCTCGTTAAAGGAGGAGGCCCAGAAGAGCCTGGTGGGGCCATCACTGACCTCTGGAAGAAGTGACAGATGTGGCAGCCCTCTGTGAGTCACTTCACTGTGTTCCAGCTCCTCTCCTTCCCTCCAGTCTGGGCCAGAGGGTCTTTGCAGGGTCTAGCAGAACCTACAAAGCAAATTGTGGTGTGCTGGAGGAAGCTACAATAATGTGGATTACCTAATGCCATCAACTGCTGGCTTCATCCTCTCCTGTGAGGCTCGAAGCACTCAGGACGAGCGATCATCCTCCAGAAATCATGGAATGGTTTATCTTGGAAGGGGCTTCAAAGCTCATCTCACTGCACCCCCTGCCATGGCAGGGACATCTTCCACTGTCCCAAGGTGCTCCAAACCCCATTCAGCCTGGCCTTGGACACTGCCAGGGATCCAGGGGCAGCCACAGCTGCTCTGGGCACCCTGTGCCAGGGCCTGCCCACCCTCACAGGGAACAATTCCTTCCCAATATCCCATCCAGCCCTGCCCTCTGGCAGCTTCATCATCCCTCTCTGATGAGAGATGCTTACAGATCCCTGTGTCTGCCAGAGGTGTAGCTGCTCAGAGTGGGTTCATCTGGGAAAATAAAGTGCCTTCATGAGTTTCTCAAGCTGAATGCAGAGTTATCCCAGCAGTTTCCCAGGTGGGATGAGGTGTTATCCCAGCAGTGTTTCCCAGGTGGGATGCAGGGTTATCCCAGCAGTTTCCCAGGTAGGATGAGGTGTTATCCCAGCAGTTTCTCAGGTGGGATGCAGGGTTATCCCAGCAGTTTCTCAGGTGGGATGCAGGGTTATCCCAGCAGTTTATCCAGCCCTGCCCTCTGGCAGCTTCATCATCCCTCTCTGATGAGAGATGCTTACAGATCCCTGTGTCTGCCAGAGGTGTAGCTGCTCAGAGTGGGTTCATCTAGGAAAAGAAAGTGCCTTCATGAGTTTCTCAAGCTGAATGCAGGGTTATCCCAGCAGTGTTTCCCAGGTGGGATGAGGTGTTATCCCAGCAGTGTTTCCCAGGTGGGATGCAGGGTTATCCCAGCAGTTTCCCAGGTAGGATGAGGTGTTATCCCAGCAGTTTCTCAGGTGGGATGCAGGGTTATCCCAGCAGTTTCTCAGGTGGGATGCAGGGTTATCCCAGCAGTTTCTCAGGTAGGATGAGGTGTTATTCCAGCAGTTCCTTTGGAGCAGCATCACTGCTTGGTGCCAGGTCAGCGTTTGGCCGCGGGTCTGTTGCTCTGTGGCTTTAGGTGGAAACCCACATGTGAACCTCAGCAGAAGTTCAAAGGGGTTACCTGGCAGCTCCTCAAACCTGAGCCTCGAATTAAAGAATAGCCATCAAAGGGAAGTGCTGATTAAGGAGCATTTCTCAGAAACACTGAGATCCCATTATCTTGACCTTCATCTGGTTAGGACAGGGCAGGGAGTGATTCACCTCCAATCTGTCCCTTCCTCTAGACGGAAAAAGCTGGCGGGGGCTGCAAGATCAACAGAGGGATTAAGGGAAATGTAATTGAACATTGCCAGCTTAGGCAGAGGGCGGGCAGCCCCTCTCTGTGCCCAGCCTGGCAGGCAGTGGGGTCAGGATGCGCCCAGGATGATCCCAGTTGGACTAAACAACCAGATTAGCCAGGACACCCCCTGACCTGTGTGGATCCAGGAGCAGGTGAGATTATAGCCTGAGAACTGTGACTCTGGCATTAGTGGGAGCGGGATTAGAGGCACCAGAGAAGCTTGAGGGTCTTGGAGAAATTTATAGGATTGTTAAGAGCCTAAAGAAAACAGAGACTTGGTCAGTCTTACCTCTAAGTCCATCTGGAGTTTTCTTAGCAAACTTTGTTCTCAAAAAGAGAAAAAAACCGGGGACATGAGCATCAGCTCCAGGACATTTGCCAGAAAGGAAAGATTAAATAGAGGGATCCAAAATAGGCTAGATTATCTGGCCCTAAGTATGACTTAATAAGCATTATACTGGGACTTTGATGCTGTGATAATTAAAGAGCCGTTATTTACCTACAATGGGTCCCAAATAGAAATCTGATTGAAGTAAATGTGTATAAAATGTATAAAAAATTATTGTCCCAGGAATGCTGCTACCACAATCATGGATGACCCAGGTTTGCTGCCATCCATCAGCGCTGTCCCCTGGAGTGGTCTGAGCCCTGGAAGGGGTGAGCCCTCCCTCCTCCTCCTCCTCCCTGCCCCAGTGGATTTTGGGGGACAGGACAGGCACCCAGAGCACCTTCTTGGTGAGGTGATGGGTGTGAGTAGTGGGCAGAGCTCAGCAGCATCCAGCTGCTTTCCCAACAAGGGAGTTAAAACTCAGGGGTTTTTCCTCCCCCATCCAAGTTTGAGTGTGTCTGGAGCAATACTGTGAGTAATCAGCGATTTTAACAACAAGATCGGATTTTCTCCTGACATCGTTGGGGATGAAGGAGGATTTGGAGATACCTCAGCTATATTAAGGCATTATTACAATTGATTTGCAGACACAAAAGGGAAATGAGTCATTATTGATTTGATATCTCAACACACACTGGACTGCTGGGGGATGCTGTGGCTGAGCCTCTGCAAGGTGCAGATTTTTATGTTAGTTGTCTGATGTGCTTCATCATTCCTAATTCCTTTGTGTTAGGGGTGAAGGAAGATGCAGGATGAGTTCCTCAGTCATGCCCTTGCCTGAGGGCTGGACTTCCAGGCTCTGTTCCATCCAGAGAACCGATGGGGCTTTGCCTCTGCAGGACCCCTCGTGGTTTCTCAAGTCCATCCCTGGAGTGTCCCTGTTCCCTGGGGTGTCTCTGCACAGCCCAGCAGAGAGATCCCCTGGCTCCACAGGGAGCAGAGAAATGTCCTGCTGAGCATCCCTGGCCATGGGCAGGTTTTACCTTACATGGCTGCAGCATCTCCTCCCCACTTTTGTGCCCAGGTGCCTGACCTGACCCACACCTTGGTGAGGCTCGTGCTGCTTGTAGATACTTTTTTTGGGGGCAATATTTCCAATTTGAGTGAATTTATTTTATAATTCACTGTAAAATATTACAAATATAAATTATAATATTATTATAATAATATAATATTATTGTAGTATAAATTAGAAAATATTAGTGCCCATTCCTGAGGTGTTCTGCTGTGAGTTCCCTGTTCCAGCAGTAAAACAGTTCCTCAGTAGTGCCTGGTTAATGCCTTAAGCCCAGTGAATAAACTCCAGCACTCAGACAGGGCTGGGATTTGGAGTTTGGGAAAAGCAGCAATTGGTGCATATAGAAATGTAAATGTCTTTATGGGAAATTGTAATAATTTAGTTTTAATCTAATTTACTATAAAGTTGACTTGAGACAAAAAGTCTTTCCCTGGAGGCAGATGAAAGCTGTGAGGGGCCTGAGAGCAGAGCTTGGGTTACAAAAGGAGGGGAAGGAGGGATGGAATTGGTGCTGTGTCCTGAGTAATGCCCACCCAGGATCCTCTTCCCTCCCACCTGTTTCAGAAAGGGTTCCCAGGTTTTAGGGCAGCAGCTCTTGTTCCTAGAGCCCAGGCCCTGTCCAGGGCTCGGAGCAGCCCCTCAGCAGCTGGGACAGGGCTGGCTCGGTGGCACTGCCTGTCCCCAGCCTGCCCTCCTGGCCACAGCAGCAAAGTGCCCGAGCGGTGGCTCTGGGCAGAGATTTGTTAATTAAAACCAGGCTTTTTAATCCTTCTGTCCATAGCCTGGATCTTCGAAGCAGGACTTAACGAGCCCTGGATAAATAAGTCTCTTGGAGCTTTTCCTGCCAGGCAGCTCGGGGTGGCCGCAGGGACAGGCCCCGTGGCCAGAGGGGCGGCTCTGAGGAGCAGAGCCCGTGCCAAGGGGCTGCAGGGCACCCGGGCTGTGCTGGCCATGGGGGTGCCTCTCACCTGGAACGGGGGTCACTCCCTGCTCCTGCCTCAGCTGCTCCCCCGGCCCAGCTCTGACACAAGCGGCCACTCCTGGGGTGTGGCCCTGCCATCGGTGGCTGTGTCAGAGGCTGAGCTGCTGCTGGGGCCTGGCAGGGAGCAGAGATGTCCCCAACCCCTGGGGGTTGTCCAGGTGTGCCCAGGGAAGGAATCTCCTGTGGGAAAAATTTGTCACCAGGAATGATTTGATCTGCAGCAGGAGCAGATCCTTTCCCATCAGTGATGGATGGAGCTGCTGGAGAGAGTCCAGCAGAGCCCATGGAGATGCCCCCAGGGCTGGAGCCCTCTGCTCTGGAGCCAGGCTGGCAGAGCTGGGGGTGCTCACCTGGAGAGGAGAAGGCTCCAGGGACACCTCAGAGCCCCTTGCAGGGCCTAAAGGGGCTCCAGGAGAGCTGGAGCGGCCCTGGGGACAAGGCATGGAGGGACAGGACCCAGGGAATGGCTTCCACTGCCAGAGGGCAGGGCTGGATGGGATATTGGGAAGGAATTGTTTCCTGTGAGGGTGGGCAGGCCCTGGCACAGGGTGCCCAGAGCAGCTGTGGCTGCCCCTGGATCCCTGGCAGTGTCCAAGGCCAGGCTGGATGGGGCTTGGAGCAACCTGAGATGGTGGAAGGTGTCCCTGCCATGGCAGGGGTGGCACTGGATGGGCTTTAAGATCCCTTCCAACCCAAACCATTCCATGATTCCATGAATTTAGGGTTGGGGCTGCACCCCTCAGGCATGGCCTGTGCCAGCTCTGACTCTCCTGCCTTTGTGCTGTGTTCTTCCTGCAGGCATTAAGGTCATCGGTGGCATCAAGGAGCTCACTGGAGAAGAATATGGAGTTTATGTCAAGAGGATCCTTCCAGGGGGTGTTGCTTACGCAGATGGTGAGTGGAACACGGCCAGAGTGCCACGAGGTCTGAGAACAGCCCAGACTGAGGGTATTTATTTCACACATTTGTTTCATCCCTTATTAGATATTTTGGGTGCTTGTTTGGGGATTTTCCAGTGGTTGGGGGTGTTTTTTTAGTGTGGCAGTTGTTCTAACATCTGACAGCAGCCTTGGACTGGCTCTGTGTGCACAGCATGGCCCATCTCTGCCACATGAGAACTTTCCTGTCCTTCCCACCTCCCTGTGGCCCCAAAACGAACAGAGATCCTTTTGCAAACTCAGCTCTGCTCTAGGTCACTGATTTCATGCTGAATATGTTCAACTAAGTAGGTATTAGGGGTCTGCAGAGCTCACCTTTTACAACTTCAGCTAAAAGGATCTTTTTTTTTCCCCAGCTGTTAGATCATTTTTCCATCCAATAAAAGAAAATAAATCCAGAACAGGTGGAAGTGCCTCTCCTGGTTTTCCACCTGACCTCGAACTGAACTACTTGACCTCAAAATGAATTAAGCAAAAGCTTTATTGCAGTTTTCAGTATTTACTTTTGCAACTTCCTAGAGCAGAGGAAGTGCTGGGACATTGGCAGGGGCTGTTCTGGGAGGTTGCAGAAGCTTCATTTATGGACATCTGGAAAAACAGGTCAGACGAGCATCTCCGGAACAGCCCATCCATTTTTCATCCTGTCTCTGGGCACAGGGGGGAACTGCCCAGCCTCTCCCAGTCCCTTCAAGCTGTATTTTCCACAGTTTCTATCCATTAGTTTTCTTTTTTAGGGCGCCTGCAACCAGGAGACCAGATCCTGGAAGTCAATGGAGATTCCCTAATTGGGGTTACAAGCGAGAGGTACCATATCCAAATGGATATTTCCCATTCCTGTTGCTTTTGTGGGATTCTGTGAAGTGGCTTAGGCAGTGGGTTGTGTGGAGGACACCAGGGCATCACTCTGTATGCTGTTCCCAAGAGCCAACTCAGAAACTATCAACCAGGAAGATTCAATATAAAAATAGACCCAAGAGCCCAAATTGTATCTGAGATAGTCAGACATTTCCCCAGAAAGTTGGGTTTTAAACAGCTCCTGGCACCTCCACTCCATCTGCTGCATCTTCCCAGCACATCCTGCAGTTCCCAGCACAGGAGATTAGCTGATGCCTGAGCCTGACTGTGCTGCTCCAGTTCCTTCTGGAGCCACGATCCAGCCCCTCAGCTCCCCACCAAGAGAATCATTCACAGTTCCACAGAAGCACAAACACTTTGGGGCTCTCCTTTCCCATTGAACACTGTGCTCTCCTATTGCCTGCCTTGCATTCCTGCACCAGCTGCCAAGGCTGGATGGGAAGCAGCATGAGGAGCTGGTCCTGCTGTCAAAGCCCCAGAGCAGCTGGGCTCGGTGACATCCATGAGAACATCTCTGTGGCTGTGGGAGGCTGTGCCTGGCTCCCAGCAGCTGCCCTGGCTGCCAGGGGTACTTGAATTTTGACCTAGAATATGGCTGTCCCCAGAAGGGACGCTTCCCCAGGCTGGGAATTACAGAATCCTGGAATGGTGTGGGCTGTGCAGGAGGATTTGCTCATCACCACAGGTGTCTTCTGGGGTTTGCTATCAGGGACTTCTCACTTACTGCAGAAGTGGGAAAATCAGGGTATGGCTGGGCTGCCCTCGGCCTCGCTGCCAGGGCAGGGAACAGGGCATCCAGCCAAAGCCTCAGCTGCTGGAAGGGTTTGCCCAGGTCAGGGGTCTCTGCCAGCTTTGAGGTGAGCAGGGTGAGGCCAGTGGAGCTCTGCTGGGAGCTGGGATTGACCTGTCATGGTCCTTGTGTTCCAGGGCCGTGGACATCCTGAGGACAGCGTCGGCCACCAGCCACATGCGCCTCCTGATAGCCCGCGATGACGACGCCAGGTAAGGGGGGACGCCGGGAAGGGAGCTTGTGGCACTCCTTGGCACCACAGCTGGAGAGCCTTGGAGCAAATTGGGCTCAAAGGCCTCTGCTCTGGGAAGGCAGAGGTGGCCAGGGATCTTTGGTAACTGTGCACTGCTGGGAATTCAGTGGAGCTGTAATGGAAGGAAGCAAAGTTTCCCTTGGTGGCTCTCAGCTCCAGCCCTGCCTGGGTGGGATCTGTGGGACATTCCAGCGCTGAGCAGATTTCCACAGGTGCTTCCCCAGGGAGGACCAGAGCTGCAGCTGTAATGGAAGGAAGCAAAGTTTCCCTTGGTGGCTCTCACCCTGCCTGGGTGGGGTCTGTGGGACATTCCAGCACTGAGCAGATTTCCACAGGTGCTTCCCCAGGGAGGACCAGAGCTGCCCCAGTCTTGGCTGTAGGGTGGCACAGCTCCCTCAGATCTGCTGTGTGCTGTTTCAGCACATCATGCACAGAACTCTGGATGAAGATGTGCAGGGACAGCAGGATCTTCCCTTTCCTTTCCCGTTGGACACATTGAGTTAAGGTCTTCCTTTCCCAGAGGTTTCCTCCTTCTCAGGAAGGATGAGAAGTTTCTCGCTGAAACCTGTCCCCTTGCTGCCCCCTGGAAAGCCTTGCTATCTCTGGAAAGACTCCGAGGGTTTGGAAGGAGAAGGAAAGAGTTCAGTCTTGTCTTGACTGGGTTTAATGATGGTGCCAGGAGAGAGGGCAGAGCTGTGGGAACCCAGGTATGGATTAGTGGGGTCTTTGCTGATATCCCACAGGAGATCTGGCACAATGTGCTGGCACATGCTCTCCCTTGACAGAAACAGGGGCTGGGGAAGCTGAGGTGCTGCAGGAAGCAGCGGAATGAGGGTGGGATTTGGCAGAGTGTGGCTGTGGGCAGGCAGGCTGTGCTCTGCCCGTGGGTGGCTCAGGTCAGAGTCCCTGCTGAACACACCCAGATCCCGTTAGTGTGGAGATGATGGATGATTTAATGATGGATGCATTCCTTATCCATCAGCTGCTGTGCAGCTTTCCTGCCTTGGCAGAGCAGTGAGAGTGCTCTAATGACAGGCGTGAGACTACTTCTGACACAGCAATACACTGCTGGAAGAATTATTTGCTATTAATGACGGGCTGCTTTTAGCCACCCTCTTCCAGGGGAAATGGCATCTCCTGTTATTACATTAAGTGCAAGTCCTTCAGCAGCTCTGAGGAAGTGCTGGGTGAAGCCAGTAGGTCACCAGGGATCCTCTGGTCCAAGTAGGGATGCTCAGGATGCAGCTCTGGATCACAGCAGTCCCCTTGGCAGGGCAGAGTGCCAGTGGGCATCTCACACTCTCTCCCAGCAGGAGGGACGGGATCCCACAGCTCGGCTGGGATCCCTGCATCCAACAGCAGCACGACTTGCTCTGAAATATTTGATTTCTCAGCCAGAGCCCGAAGCACAGGTTTTCTGCCTCCACAGTGATCTGTTCCAAGCTGTTCCTGCAGCTCCTGACATCCCAAATTGCAGCAGATGTTTCGTGGCTCCGGCTCCCCCCTGCTCCGGCAGGCCCCTGTCCCCCTGCAGGGAGCTGGGGCAGGCCGGCAGGACAATGGAACTTTAAGCGATTTATTTGGCCTCCGTTCACTGTTGGTTATCTGTTAAATCTGCAAAAGGTTAGCCAGAGGGAGAGAGGAGAAGTAATCAGTTTATTTATTCTTTTTTCCAAAAGATTTGCAGAGATTTCACTTACATAATCATCTCGCAAACTGTTTAATACACAAATACATATCTCCAGGATTAAGGGCTGTGGGAACATGGGGAAGGATTTTTCTGCTCTCCACTTTTTTTTTCCACTTAGTTTTGTCTTTTATTGGTGCCCTGCTATCTTTTAAGTCTGTCCTTGAGCGTGGGTGAGCAGCCAGCCGGGTGGAGACAGTCCATCAGCTCTGGGGTGATGCCTGTGGAGGTGCCATGCCACGGGATGGCAGCTTCCCTGTTCCCACTGCCCAGCAAAGCAGCTCACGAGACCTGAAAGCTGAGGAGCACACGGGGCAGAGAAAATTCAGTTTATTTTCAGATCTTTCCTCGCCCAGAGCACTCAAAGCACTCTGGAGGAGGGAACGTCATGGTTCTGGGTTTGGATCCAACACCCCTGCCAATTTTCCCAATGACTCAGCTGAGTAGCATTTTGTTGTGGTTGCCCTCGGGTGAATTTGAGTCATAAACGCTATTATTTGTCTCTGGAGTTAATTATAGGCCCAAATTACCTGTGCTTTTCATGGAGCTCAGTCTCTGGCATGTATCAGATGCATGTTTTGGGCCTGTCGCATCAGCTGGGCTGCAGAGAGCAGCAGTAATGCCAGGGCTTAAAGCAGAGGATTCACATTTGGAGCTGGACTCACCAGGTTTAGGTGATGCTTAAATCTGATTTTCGTCTGTGCTCACCTTCAGCTAATGAGGATAATTTTATTGCATAGTCATAATTATTGTTTATTCATTCTCAACCTGAAAGTTACAATAGTTCCTTGTTTCTCTGCATTGCACAGATATCGGCCTGGTCTGTCAGGTTTATCACTGGGAGGAGCCACTTTGTGCTGCACCTCTGAGTCCTGGCAGGATAAAATACTAAATTCATTGTGTCTCCACACGAGATGCATCCCCAGCATCCCAGGAACAGGGGCTGTTGGATTAGCAGGGCTCACACAACCAGCAGGAAGGAAAGGCTGCTTCTCTGCAAGTGCCCTGGCAGTATGGAACAGAATCAGACTCACAGGATCTCTGAGGGTGGAAAAGATCTTCAAGTCCAACCTCTGACTGATCTCCCAGCCCAGAGCACCAAGTGCCATGTCCAGTTGTTCCTTGGACATGTCCAGGGGTGGGGACACCACCACTGCTCTGGGCAGCCATTTCCAAGGCCTGACCTGACCACCTTTTCCATGAAGAAATTCCTCCTGATGTCCAACCTGATCCCCCTCCACTCCGGCACAGCTTGAGGCCATTTCCCTGTGTCCTGTCCCCGCTCCCTGGAGCAGAGCCCCCTACCCCCTCCGCCTGCCCCACCCCGACTGTCCCTTTCTGTCAGAAGCTGTGCAGAGCCACAAGGTCCCCCCTGAGCCTCCTTTTCTCCAGGCTGAGCCCCTTTCCAGCTCCCTCAGACCCTCTTGGTGCTCCAGCCCCTTCCCCAGCTCCGTTCCCTTCCCTGGACACGCTCCAGCCCCTCAGTGTCTGCCTTGTGAGGAGCCCAGAAGTGACCCAGGCCTTGAGGTCCAGGCCCAGGTAAAGGGGCAGGATCAGTTCCCAGGTCATTGTGCCCACCCTGTTTCTCCCAGCAGAGGGGCTGTTGCCCCTCTGGCCTGGTGTAAATGCAGGATAGCCCCTCCTGCCCTGCCAGCCCTGCAGTGTGTGTGACAGTGTGACAGTGAGAACTCAGCCCATGGCTCTGTTGTTCTGAGCACTTGGTGCTAAGCTGGCAGGGAAGGCTGGGGCTGACTCCAGCAAGCCTGGGTGTGACAGGGACAAAGGCTGTGCTTTGGGAAAAACAGCCAGCCTTTCCCAGAGCAGTGAGATGCACCTGTGCCTGGCACTGCTTCCATCCCACCTGCAGAGAGGGAAGGCATCAAATGGTTTGGGTTGGAGGGGACCTCAAATCTCATCCCATCCCACCCCCTGCCATGGCAGGGACCCCTCCCACTATCCCAGGGTGCTCCAAGCCCCATCCAGCCTGGCCTTGGACACTGCCAGGGATCCAGGGGCAGCCACAGCTGCTCTGGGCACCCTGTGCCAGGGCCTGCCCACCCTCACAGGGAACAATTCCTTCCCAATATCCCATCCAGCCCTGCCATCTGGCAGTGGGAAGCCATTCCCTGTGTCCTGTCCCTCCATGCCTTGTCCCCAGTCCCTCTCCAGCTCTCCTGGAGCCCCTTTAGGCCCTGCAAGGGGCTCTGAGGTGTCCCTGGAGCCTTCTCCTCTCCAGGTGAGCACCCCCAGCTCTGCCAGCCTGGCTCCAGAGCAGAGGGGCTCCAGCCCTGGGGGCATCTCCATGGGCTCCCCTTGACTCTCTCCAGCAGCTCCAGGGCCTGCTGCTGTTGGCCCCAGGGCTGAGGCAGCTCTGCAGGTGCGGTTTCACCTGAGGGGGCAGAGGGGCAGAATCCCCCCCTCCTGCTGCCCACGCTGGGGCTCAGCCCAGCCCAGGAGGGTTTCTGGGTGCTCACAGCCAGGGCAGGTCCAGCTGTCACCCACCAACAGCCTAAATCCTTCTCCCAGGGCTGCTCTCAATTCCTTCTCTGCCCAGCCTGGATTAGGGCTTGGAATTGCCCTGACCCAGGCACTTGGCCTTGTGCTTTTTGAATTTTGCACGGTTCCCTCTCTCCAGCCTGTCCAGGTCCCTCTGGATGCTCCATCCCTCCCCTCCAGGCTGTCACCTCCTCACACAGCTGGGTGTCAGCTCCAGGCTGGCTGGGGGTGCCCTAATTCCACTGGAGCTGTGTGAGAAACCTGCCTTTGTGATGTTTTTGGAGTGCTCTAGGTTCATGGCTCCCACTCACCTGCAGGTTTGTTTTTTTTTGGAGACAAACCAGTAATTTCTGATGTCACAGGCTCCACTTTCTCTCCCAGCTGTGGTGCAGAGCTGAGGTTTCCAGACGCTGTGTAACCTTTGATGTAGGATTCACCCTTTGTTCTTCCAGGAACAAAAGGGCAGGACAAAGAGGCATTATGAGATAAAACAACAATTTTCTGCAAGGAGATTGACCCCCTGCTGCTTAGTCTGTAGCAAAGTCATCTTGGAGCTGGCTGCTGCTGGCAGACCCCCCATCCCACTCTGGGGCTGGCTGAAGGCTGTCCAGGGCCAAGCTCTATTGCAAGCATCCTGCAGACCTCAAATGTTTGCATCCTAATGAAAAAAAATGGAGAAGGGCTTGTTAAAATGAACTTTCCACCTCATACAACGCCACGGTTGTTGTTTTTTAATCAAGCTGGGCATTTGAGTCCTGCAGGCACCTGACAATTCACAATGTTTTAGTAAGGGTCAAATTTTAAATATTAAAGACATCTTCTGAAGCCTCTTGGTGTCTGAAAGCACAAAGCAAGGCCTGTTGGCATTCCTGCAGCGCGCTCGTTCATTAATCGGCAATGTTTGGGCATTGTCTGCCCGCGTCCAGCTCCTCCAAACACTGCACTGAGCACAAAATTAATTCCCAGGAGACTGGCACCAGAAAGTGCTTTACTTTCTGCTGGGATAAGTGTGTGCCTCAAGTTAGTCATGTGTTTGTGTCCCTGGTGGAACTGGGGCTGGCAGGACTGACCAACAAAGCAGGAGCTGGGACGGTGGCATTTGGTCACATTGTCCCTGGGCTGGACCCAGTCTCACAGCTCATTCAGGCTCCTGAGAAAATAATGATAAACCTCCTTTGTGGATGAATTTCAGGACACAAAATAAACAACAATAAGGAGTGCTGAGCCCATGCATGTCCTCACTTATGACAGAGCATTTGGCAGCACAGGTTAGTGACGGGGTTTTCAGGGTCACAGAGCTGCTGCACCAGTTGCATTTGCATTGACTAAGAGTATTGCAGCCATTGTGTGGCGTTTATGACCTCCTCTGTGCTCTGCTGGATTATTATCTGAGGAAAATGGAACAATAGATGACCACAGAAATACCCAGCCCAAAACAAAACCTAAGTGCTGGTGGCTTGGTAACCACTGGGAATAATGTGTGAGATTCCAGCACATTGGACCTGCCCCTGCAGGGGTCAGGGAGGGGTAAGGCCGTGGCTGTGTGAGCTGCCAGTGAAACTGGTGTGAATCAGCTGCAGACACACGGAGGCTTTACTGGGAAACTGAAATAATTCTGCTGAGATCCACCAAGGCTCAGCTCAGGGATCCGAGGATCAGCAAACCAGAGGCTGACTTGTCCTTCTGCTTTCCCAGTGCTTGTGGAATCATTTAGGTTGGAAAACCCTCTGAGACCCTTGAGTCCAGCCCTTAACCTACCACTGCCAAGGTCACCATTAAACCATGTCCTCAAGCGTCACATCCACATGTTTTTTGAACATTTCTAGTGATTCCACCACTTCCCGGGGCAGCCTGTTCCAGTGCCTGACATCCTTTCAGTGGAGAAATTTTCCTAATATTTTACATATTTTAGTGCCTTAAGTTATGAAGCTGCCTTCCCCTCATGCACAGTAAGTGCAGGTCACACAGGGCTGGCCCCACACAGCTGTCCCTTGGTGGGCCACCAAATGCCTGCCACTGTCTGAGGGGTGGATCCAATAAAGAATTCCAGTGCTTGGAGAATGGCTTTGATCATCCTCATGTCCCCCCTACTGTTTTATCACCACCATGACTGGGAGGTCACAGCATCTTCTGGGTATCCTGGTGGCATTTTGGCTGTTCTGGGAAGTTTGTGCCCAAGAGGTGAAAGCCAGAAGAGCTCTGTGGGACAAGGGGTTTCTGAACAAAGTCGTGGTCTTTTTTTAAGGTCATGTTTTGGTTGATAAAGACAATAGTATGGGTGCAAATATTGGGATTCACCAAGGCATGTCACTGAGCATTGTGTGACACTTGGGTTTTAAATTAGCATTAAATGGAATGAATAAGGCATAAATTTGATGGCAATATTAGATAAGGCATGCGCTGGTCTTTGAAGTTGGTTAATGAGCTGGATGTGACTGGGAAGATGTAAATTACTGAGAGCATTTCCAGCAGGAACCTGAGGAGCTGATGATTCATTCATCATTTAATATTGTTGACTCTAATCTAGCCAATAACACCCAACATCTGTCCTGGTGAGGAACGCAGATGACGCAGCGTCTGCGAGTGTGTCACAGCAGTCTCCTCTCGCTCAGGGAACTTTGCTGTGGCTGGGTTCCTACAGGTTCACCTCTTGTGCTTGTCTGACTGTCAAGCCTGAGAGGGAGCCACTCATAGCCAGGCTTTTCCTGGGGCTATGGCATCAGGAAGGCACCTTCCCATGGGGATTCCCTCCTGCCTTCAAAGACGACATCTAATGGTGTTACTGTGACCACTGAAACAACATTTTCAGGGTCTCTCCCTCTGCCTGAATGCTTATTAACTGGCATGTGTAAGAAATTAGTCATCCTTGAGAATCTCTCTGCCAAAAGGTCGGATCCTTTAGGTGGGGTTGGGTTATGAAGGGAGAGAACACCCCCATTGCAGAGGGACAACATGAGAGCAGTGTGGCAGGGCTGCTGAACATGAGCATGATGAGGATGTCATTCCTGTCCATGCCTCCTCATCTGAAAGGTTGTGAAGGGCTCACAGCAACTCAAGAAAGGTTACAGAAATGAGGCAGGAGCTGGTAAATGTGGACAATGGTAGTTCTTAATGGAGTTCAAAAACGCAAAAAGAGGTCATGAAGAAAATCACCTGTGGGGTACAGGGAGCTCCAGCTCATCAAGGGCTCAACACACGCTGGTCAAATTCAACCTGGAACAAAGCATCTGGTGCCTGGGCATGGAGATCATTTTCCAGGGGATTTTGGGGATGAGATTGCATGCAGGTCTTTGTTGAGGTGTCATGCTCCAAGGGTTTAGCTTGTGATGTTTGTGGAGAACATAATTATGGATGGATTGGGAGAGTGGGCTGATGCTTCTGCAGGTGCCCTGAAAGCCATCTCCCTCTCTACTCCAGCAAGAGCTACAGGATCTGTTTTCTGTCCAGGAAAAGAGGAGAAAAAAACAGAAAATAACCTGTATTTAACTGTCCTAGAAGGAGTCACAAATAGGCCAAGAATTTTTGGGTTATGTTTGAGTTACATGTTTGGGTTATGTTGAGTTACAGCTCCTTCTGGCAGGGTTAATTTGTGTGGTCTGTTTACAAAACTTTTGAGCCTTATAGTTGGGGTGAAAATATTCCCAGGAGGGTCCATGAGGAGTGCAAGGCAGGATGCAAGGCAGGGCTCCAGTGTTCATCCTGCCCTCCTCTGACAGTTCTCAGCACAGATCCTGTCCGTAGAATTGCAGGATCATAAAGATTGGAAAAGACCTTTAAGGATACGTCCCTTCCCAGCTCCTCTTGCCCTGAACACACTCCAGGGCAGGAAAGGAGCACTCTGGAGCTGCAGCCCATCACAGGAAAGCTGCACTGCCACGAGGTTGATTACAGACCTGAAGCCTTGCACAAGCTCTTGAAAGCTGGGTATTCCCTTTGTACATGAGGAGCTTTGTCTGCTCCCCACAGCTGGAGAGCACCAGCCCTGCAGCCTTGGTACCCAGTCCCTGCCATCAGGGGCTCTCTTGCCATATAGTCCTGTGGGGGGAGTTCTGAGCAGCAGCTGACTGCACTGTGGTTTTGTTTGCAGGAGAGAGTTCTCTGAGCTGCTGGAGAAGTTTGGCTCCCAGAGCAACACAGGCTCAGCGCGGAGCTCGCCAGTCCTGCATGGTGGCAGTGAGTAACTCAGCAGGAAACTGAAAGCCCCTCTCTCTGCAGAGAGAGTTTCTTTTATCCCAGTGTCATTATGAAGGAGCTGTGGTTGGATTTGAGTAGGTGTTGGGGTGGAGGTTTGAAGAAAGCTTGCCTTATTGCAGACCCTTGGTGCATGCCCAGAGTGTGGCCAATGCTGCCAAGGAGTGATCAAGGGAGACTTGAATTGGGGTCATAATCCCTCCCCTGATCCCCAGATTCTGCCTAACTGATGTGCTGGGCAGGTGACTCCATCAGTAAATGAAGCTGTACATTTTTGCTCTGGATTTCAAGGCAATTTCTGCAATAATTAATTTAAAAATAATTTCTTTTCATTTGCAAATGGGAAATGTTTAATGAGATGCAACAAGGTTGACCAAAGCAAGATGCTAGCACAAAAAGTCGTGTGTGCCTGGGGAAGAAAGCTTTCCCTACAGCTTGGCATCCCACCAGACAGCTGCTGGCCCTTCCCCTATGGCAGAGGTGTGTAGGGTTGGCAGAGGGGTGACAGTCCCGCTCTGGAATTGTGCCAAGGAGACTGAACGTTTCCTCTCCTTCAGCCCCATCCTGATGTCTTTAACCACCATGTGGCTTTCCCCAAAAATCCAGGAGTGAGGCATCAGCTCTCAGCAGCAGAGCAGGGGGGAGGGTGATGCTGGAGTGTTTGTGTGCCCTGGACTGACTCTGCCTTTGCTGTTCAGGTCGATACCTGGAGAGCACCTCCTCGGGCTCGTCCTCACGCTCCCAGAGCCCGCTGCTGCTGAGCCCTGCCAACTCCCACGGCCCCTTCCTCGGGAGCCTGACGCACGCTCCTCACGCACAGTACGTACACATCCCACCAGCCCGGCCTGCCGGGGCAGCAGGACACCACCAAATGTCAGAGGGCTACACCCAGTAAAGCATTCCAGTGCTTGTTGAACAGTTTTGTTCATCCTTTTGACCTCTCTATTCTTCTATCACGACAGTTCAGAGGCCACAGCATCTTCTGGATGTGGTGGTGGCATCTTGGCTCTTCCTGGGAAGTTTGTTCCAACGGGGATGAAAAGGTTCCCAGTTGAGATAATCAATATGTCTGCACCATGCAGCAGCTCCTCTTCCTCCCCTCTGAATCCCAGAGGCCATGATTTACAGCCAGCTGAGAGGGCCCTGGACATCACTTGTAAATCATGAGCAGTCTGTTCCTGCAAGGCTGATGTTGCTTTCAGGAGATGTTTTTGAACTTGTTTCCTATTGCCCTGCTCCTGACACTTTGACCCCGTGCTCCAAGAGCACGAGCACCTCTCCATGCAAACATCCCTGATGTTCTTTGCTTTGGGGTCATCAGCCTGCAGTCACCTCATCCTTTGGTGGCCAGAGCATCTCCTGGAGTGTGTTTTCATGTGGTCATCTGCCCTTGCACGTTCCGCAGGGTCAGAGGTTTGGCAGGCCGAGCTGGTTTTTCTGCGGTCTCGTCTCCAGGGCCCTTCTCCAGAGGGACAGCTCGGAGGCTGTTCACAGTCATGGGATGGGGACCATTTGTCCCCAGGGCTCACAGCTCCCCTCCTTTGCCAGCACAAACAAGCCAAGGCACTGGTAATGAGAATCAGCCCTCACTGCAGAACCAGTAAATCCTCTTGCTAAATACCAGCTTATTAGGGATTTGCAGAGGACAAATATTTGGCACCAGAGGTTTAAGCTGCTTGCATGGAGTGAGAGACCCATACAGAGGAGACACCAGATCATCTACTTGGCAGCTGCTTTGGACAAGCCATCCTTACTGTGCTGTTAATTCCCTCCAGGCTGAGGTGTAGAATCCAGAATGGGTTGGGTGGGATGGAGCCTCAGAAATCATCTCATTCCAACCCCACCACTGTGGGCAGGAAAATGGGCATTTAGACTAGAGGGGCCTGTCTTGGTGGCCTCCTTGCCATGCTGTGCCATGTTCTGCTTGTCTCCATGCTGCTCCCAGGCCCCAGAGGTCTTCCCCTGGAATCACAGACCTCGTTTCACCTGAGCATTGGTGGTCAGCCGTGAGATGTAATTTGGGCCATGGGTCTTTTCATGCATGTGGCTGCCACCCCTTCTGCTCACTACAGGCTGTCCCCAGGCTGTGACTTCTCATTGTGGCATCACCTGAGGTCCTGCCCTTCCACTGAACAATGGGAGCTGGATGCGATGCAATCTCACCACAGTCAGTGTCTGAGATTCTGGGTTGAACAGAGCATTTTAATGCATGTTTAATGCTGTTATTTCATGCTTCATTTCCCTAAGATTGTTCACCTTAAAGCAATGTTTTTTCATAAGACTAGGGCCCATGCACCCCTTCCACTGGGGTGTCTGACCACCGGGCTGGCATTGCTTGGGAACGTGTGCCGCTGTCCCTGTGGGGCACGGGGTGCACAGATGCTGTTGTGTCTGAAGTTGTAACATGAGGAGCCAGTGCACACTCTTTGGTCAGTGGCTGCTGTGGAAATACATTGAAAAGCAAAAAGCCAGCTGCACCCACCCACCCCATTTGGAGGAAAAAGGCTTGCTGATCCTTACCAAATCCTTCCCCAACCCCGCCTGTTGCAGTGCTGCCCATGGGAGCTCAGTGAAATCTCTGGTCTCACAACTCTGCTGCTGTCAGACCTCCCTGCTGGCATGGAGCCACTGCTGTGGCTGGGCCTTGGTGGCCTGTTGAGTCCTGTCCAGCAGCTCTTGGAGGGAAGGGTCCAGCTTGTTTGCTGCTCCTTTCTATCCTTGACTGGGCAAGCCACCTGCCGCAGCAGCAGCTCACAGTGTGGTGGGTTTTGCTGTAAAGGATGCTCATTTCTTAGGGCATGTTGCATGATTTTGGGTCCAAATCCTGGTTGAGACGCACCCAGCTGTATATCCTGAGCTTCACTTTGATGTTTCCTAAGAACTTCTTGATAGTTGATCCATCAGTAAATTGCTGTCTGGTGATCTAGTTGGATTCAAGCAACAACCATGTTGATAATATGCTTTTGGCTATAAAAGCAGGAATGTGTGCTTTTGGCTATAAAAGCAGGAATGCCAAATATATTCTGGTTAAATCTTTAGTTTCTTCTCTAAATGTGTACTCCCCTATTGGAGATTAGGGGAAGCAGTCACCTTAATAACACTGAATAATGTCTGCCAAAGAACAGGAGGCCTCACTTCCCCTTTCCAGTGGTGGGTGGAAGAAAGGATGCAAATAAAAGGCTGGGAGAAGGTAGAAGGATCACACATGGAAATAAATCCAGGCAGTTTGTTCAGTGATATGAGAAGATAACCCAGATCACCTTGAGTCACCTGCTGACTTCTCTCCCTTGCAGCTACTCCATTGACTCAGGAATCCAGAGCATTTCTATAGCAAACTCCTCTGGCTTGGGGCTGACAATCAGTGGTGGATCCAACAGGCCTGACGGGCCCATGATTTATGTCCAAGAGCTTTTGCCAGATGGGGACTGTTACAAAGTAAGTTGGCATGGAGACCCTCAGGAGCTCTGCCATGGGGACCTTTCCTAGAGGCTGTGGCTGTTCTGAAGCAGCTTTTCTAAGAGTACATGGATAATTGCATGGACTAATGAGGATTTGTGTTGCAGGAGAAGGCTTTAGGCAGAGATATCCCTTCTCAATGCTGTGTCTTTCTCCCTGTTTGTTTAGGATGGTCGGCTCCGACCTGGAGACCAACTCATCGCTATCAACAGAGATTCTCTGGTGGGCAGCACACATGAGGAGGCCAGAAAAATAATTGAAAAAGCCAAATTCAGGTAGGCGTAGAAAGTATTTCCTGTCATCATCAGGTGCTGCTGAGTCTTAGGCAGAACACTTCATACCAAGGTTTGGCTTCAAGGGCACTATTAGCCTTAAATGATTCTTTAAGGTGGTCACATCAGGAAATCTTGAAGGCATGGATCATCCTGAAGTGGAATCCAGACCTTCCTGATGTTCTGGGCCTCATTAGTATCTCCTATCACTGCCCAGCAGAGCTTTGAAACAGAACTGAAGTTAAAAAAAGGGAAAAAAATGGAGACTCAGGAGAGACCTTACGGATCTGTATGAGAGGGTGGAGCCAGGTGGGGATTGGGCTTTTTTCCCAATTAACAAGTGACAGGACAAGAGGAAATAGCCTCAAGTAGTGCCATGGGATGTTTAGAATGGGTATTAGGAACAACTTCTTCATGGAAAGGGTTGTAAAGCCCTTGGCATAGGCTGCCCAGGGCAGTGGTGGAATCATCTAGAAGTGTTCAAAAGCCATGGAGATGTGGCACTTGGGGACATGAGTCAGTGGCGGCCTTAGCAGTACCCAGGAAATGGTGGAACTCAATGATCTGAGGGGTCTTTCCCAAGCTTAACCATTCCATGATTCAATGGAATGCAGCTGGTGGAGATCCAGCTGCACTGGTGCAGGCTACTCAGGCTTAGGGAGGTTATCCTGGTGACAGAACCACAAGCATGCGAGCTCTGCAAATTTGTGCCTTTTGTTTTGTTAATAAGATGTTCTGTGCTTTTTGTTTCTTGAAGACACGAGGGAAGCACAGAAGTGGCCTTTATCCCTGGGAGGGGACGGTTACATCCCGGACTGTCAGTTCACAACAACAGCCCATCCCCGCCTCCAAAGGCTGTGGGAAACGGCCTGGGCTCCTGCAGGCTGAAGGTCCACGTGAGGTCCCCAGAGGTAGGTGGAAATTCATCTCTAAAGAGATATGATACCAATCCTGGAGACAGATACCAATCCTGGGATCTTTCCTTGATCAGAGAATTCTTCTTTAGGGAGTCCCTAGTAATACTTCTGGAAATCCAGTGGGAAGTCTGTACGGTTGATGTATTTACCTGCAGGCAGATGTTTTTAATCTGAAATAATTTCTTCTCTGTTGGGTTTGAGACAGAGATGGATCTGTGGAGGTAATGACAGGAGTTTCATCTCCAGGGCCTGCATTCAGACCTGTTTCAAGAGTCTCAGGTTTAAAAAAAAAACAAAGCCCTTCTGTGGATAGCAACCTGCATCTCATTCAGCACCAGTCATAGGGCTGGAAGGGATCTCTGGAGTCAGTTTGATCTAGGCTCCTAGCCAAAGGCAGGCACAACTCTTTATTCTTCAAGCCCTCTGATGAGGATGAATCCCCAGCATTCCTGCACAGCCCTTTCCTGCTCCTGACTACTCTAATGATAAGCCAGGCTCATGCCTCCTGCAAAGCCAAGCTCCACATTGTGTTTGCAGAGAAGTGCTTGAGCTGTGAATGGCTGGACAGGGTTTAACCACATAACCCTCAGGGTCTGCAGCTCCATTGTATGCATTTGTCACTCCCCTCCTGGACTGGTGCCATGCTGGGTGTCCTTTCTGCCCTCTTCTACACAAATTTCCTTCAAAAGAGGCTGGCTGGATGTTCCTTTCATACAAGACCATTCACAAAACACCTTGCTTTCCAGACCTGTGGGACACAGACTTGCATGAATGTCACATATGTGTTGCCTTTGGGTGCACCAGGTTGGAGACGTGCCCTAGAAAGGCACCAGAGCCCCTGGAGCTGTGGTTGGGTGCTGTGGTTGGACCCCTCACCCCCAGATTGTGTGATGCTGTGCACTTGTATGAAATCACACCATTGGCTGGACTGAAATGGCTCCTTTCCTCACTTTGCTGCTGAAAGACGGAACTTCTAATGAGGTCTGGACTTCCACACCAGGGAAAGAGTGCCCAGGCACGCGTGCTGCCTGTTTGTGTGTCCTCACACCAGCCCTGTGCCCTCTTGGCACCCAAGTCCCCAGCTGTGTCACAGCTGTCTTGGTGGTGCTCACCCACGGATTATTTTTCCCTCTCTTCCTTGTGCTTTCAGCCATGATATAGCACACAAGAAAGGGTGTGAACTGATCTCGGCTTCCTGCCCTGCTCACTGGAATAATTATGGGTTTGGGGTAAAGGTTACACCTGGCTGTGGTCAGACTTGGGACCTCTCTGCGGGATTGGATGCAGAGCTCCAGGGAGAACCTCTGTGGAGAAACAGGCAAGGTTACAACCAGCCTCAGCACTCAAGCACAGTTAAAGTAAGGACAGAACCATTTGTGTGTGACCAGAGGTTTTGGGGTGGCTCAGCCTGTGCCAGGTGCTCCCAGAGAAACCCCTGGAATCTCTTCAGGCTCACCTGCACAAGGGGTGTATGTGGCGCCCTCATGGCTCTGCCTTGAACTCCTCTATCTCCTGCTCATTATTTACACCAACAGATTCTTCTTAACAACTGTCTGTGCTGTTTTGTCTTGTTTTTCTAGAATAGACGTGAAAATCCTTTTCCTGTGCCTTCTTTGTCTCCGGACATTTGCCCACCAGAGCTTACAGTCTCAGGTGAGTCCTGCCCAACCATTCTCTTTGTGTGGGTGACAAACAGCTGTGGCTCCTCAGAGCTGAGGATTGTGAAATCACAGAATCACAGAATGGATTGCCTTGGAATGGACTTTAAAGCCCAGCCCATCCCACCTCCTTCCACTATCCCAGAGTGCTCCAAGCCCCTGGCCTTGGACACTTCCAATATAAACACAGTCAGATAGAGTTGGGATGTACACAGCAACCCTGGGCTCTGAACAGGTTTTGAGGATGCCCTCAGTTGGCCAAATTGGGAAATGGCTTAGAGATGTTAAATAAATCAGATTTCTCTCTATATCCAAGCTTCTGTTTTTGCTTATTTTTCTATTCTGTGTTTCATCTCCATGCTCTGGGTTTCCTGAGCTCTTACCTTTTGTGGAGAGAACCACTCTGTTCCAACAGTGTGGCAGCAATGGGAGGTGAACCTGAATCACCCTGAAGCTTCCCAAATCCCTTAATACTATTGAGGAAACCTCAATAATCCCCAGAGCCCAGGGAGAAAACCTCCACAAGGTACCCCATACCCCTGTGACGGGAAGGTTGGAGAGAAACATGGACTTACCCAACAAATCCTGAACAAGTGCTGCCCACCATTCTTGCAGCCTCAAATCCAACAGCCCTTCCTTCCCTGGGACATTGGCTCTGCTTACAAATCCCTGTGCCTTGCTGCAGTTCCCCTCTGGAAAGCTAAGAGCAAGCCCTGGAGGTAAACTGTGTTTAGTCCATACCTGGGATCAGCAGGAGATGGAGCAGCTGCTCCCAGGGATGTCTGGCTCACCTTGGGCAAGCTCAGCAGCTTCAGGTCTGCCTTCCATGCTCCCCTGGAGAAGCCCTGGGACAGAGATGAGCTCTCCCTGCCCTGAGTGTCCTGCAGGTGCCAGGGACACTCTCAGGTGGCCACCACAGACAGCCAGTCCTGGTGATGGGGACAGAGCAACCCAGTACCAGCAGTGACCCACCATGGCCTGACTTAGCTGGAGGATTTGATCACTTCAGGATTTGAATGTGAGATGCTAAGGAGGCTTTGTGTCAGTGTTGTCATCCATGGAGACAGACAACTGGCTCTGAAAGAGCAGCCAGGCTGGGAGCCTGGGCCAGGCAGTGCCTCAGCCCTGGATATGGCTGTGTCCAGAGCTGACAGCAAAGGCACATGGAGCTAATCCTGATTAGCCATGGCTTGAAGGGCAATGGCTCTGCCCTTGAACTTGGAGAGGGAAGTGGTGGTGGCTGATCCAGCAAACCCATTTGCTACCTCTTGCTGCTTCCCAGCTGCTGGCCTTAGCAGAGCAGATGGATGCCTGGATTAGGAGGATTATGCAGCTCCTCTGCTGCTCACTGCCTTCTCCTGGCACCTGGGCCCTGCCCTGATGGCCAGGAGGGTGAGGGAGAGGTGCTGCAGGGATTCCAGAGGAGCTGTGGTACTTGGCAAAACAGGGCTCCCTGTGATGTTAACCAGACCCAAGCAGCAACAGGAATTGCTCCTTGGGCAAATCTTATGACTGCCATGATAAGGAATCTTGTCACCTGGGCTGATGGTTTGAGGGTGGGCAGGGGCAGGCACAGCCACCCTGCACCCTTCTGGAGTCTGGTTGGGTTCTTCAGGAGCAGGCAACACCTCCTGCAGCCCTCTTCCATGGAGTATCATTGTTCCTTACAGGCAAGGGTTAATCATAATGGAAAAGGAGGAGTTCCCTCCAGGCATGGAGGGGCAGGCCTTGTGCTCTGGAACTTTTCAGCTGTGCAGCAGTGCTGGCAATGCTGAGCCTGCTGTTGGCAGCTGGATCCTCCAGCTCATGACAGCTTTTCACCAGTTCAGCAGCTGCTGCCTCTGCCTCTCTCTGCCTCTGTGCCTGCCTCACAACACATGTGCCTCCTTCTACCCAAAAACTCTGCCTGCCCAACTGAGGGGAAAAGGGTTCAAGGCTTTTTGCAGTCTTGGGGAGGGAAAAAAATCTCAGATGTGGCTTTTCCACATCACTTTTAACCTGTTAATTCCTATGGGCATCAGGAATTCTTTCCATTTTGCTTAATCAGAGTAGACAAGAACCAGGCAGATTTTAATTCATTTTTCTCACAGTTCACCGTAACTCCAAGACTCCACAAAATTCTGTGACTGGAAATTTCCAAAGTGCTGGAAGTTTTTTGCAGTCTTTTGTCCCTGGATGAAACATCTCACTTTAAACCATGCAGAAGCCCACTTTCAGAAGGATTTGCCCCAGTATCCAGTCTTTCCAAGAGAGGCCTAGTTCAGTCTTCCAGAGCTGGTTTTAGTAAATCCTGGACTTGGATTTTTGCCCTGCTGTACACACTTTATATTTCATGCAACAAGAAATCTGAGTTTTGCTTTGCAGGCACCTCTACCCAAATGCTTCCCTGTTAATATTTGCTTTTGATTTTCAGCACCTGCTTCAGCTTCTAACTACAAAGCAGCTTCAGGCACCAAACCTAAAGTAGCACTGGATCCCCATATCCGGCTCAAGGATGGAAAACTGGAACTGGTAAGTGGCAGAGTCCCTCTCCCCAAAGCAAGGTCTCCTCCTTGTGCACTGTGCAGAAATAGTCCATCTTCAGGTGAGTTTGCTGGAGGTTGAGTCCAGCCTCTGAAGGTAAAGAGGGTGAAACATCCTGACTGTGTCCAAAGGGGCATTTAAACATCCCTTGGCTAATCTTGGGTATTTCTTGGTGCTCCATGAAGCTCCAGAAGTCTTTTCCTGGCAGCTGCACCTCCCTTGCACATCATACCATTGGGTAAGGTTGTGCCCTCCAAACTTTTGGTGCTGCTGTCACTGCTAGGGTGACCTCAGGCAGCCTGGTGTGCAGGAGGGGAGGCTAAGACAGGGGATTTCTCATGGAGGAGCCATCCAGAACCGCTGATTCTTCCATCATTTTATGAAGAACACACTCGATGGGCACAGAGCGGAGCTGCTCATCTGCTCACCGAGACCCTGGGGAGGGGCAGGGTGCCTTGGGGGGCCGTGTCCCAGTCTGGCACCTTGGGTTCCTCCGGCGTTTGAGGGGGGATGTGGGGACAGAGCCCTTTGTGCGGACGCCACGGAGGCCGCGATGTGACGAACATCTGCTGCCACCCGACGGCAGCGCAGCGGAGCCGTTCTCTGAGCCCGCGCAATTCCCTAAAGCGGGATCCAGGGTGGCTCTTGCACAGCGACCTCTGCTCCTCGCGGGGACAAAGCAGCTCCTCTGGGCTGGCAGGAGCGCTTGGCTTCACTTCTCACAGCCGTGTTAGGTGGGGGGGTGACACCGACTGGCACAACCCCGGGTGGCTTTGGGGCGGCCAACATCCCAAAGCGTGGGACCTGCAGCAGCGCCTTGCACAGGGCTGGTGGGACTCGAACGGGACAGCAGATGGATCCCAGGGACTTGCTGCTGCTGGAAAGGCGGGCGAGGACCCCTCCGCAGCCCCTTCCCAGGGAATTCCCGGGAGCTGCTGTGAGCAGGAGCTGTGAGTGCAGCCTGCCACTGGTGAATGTTTCTCTCGGGCTCTTTCCAAGAATCTGCTGAGCTCGACTTTGTCTTTTAAAAGCTTTCAGTCGCTGCTGCTAGCAAGGAAGTAGGGCTTGCACAGGCTTATCTGCTTCTGTGTGCTGCCCTGAGGTTGAACAGATAAATATCAATAGAAGTTAGGGCATCAGGAGTAATGAGAGAGCAAAACATGCAGTGGAGGAGCGAAATGTTCGAATGTCTCCTCTCTCCATGAGAAACACTCTGTTAATAGCTTTTATCTTCCTGGTCCCAAACACAATTTCTGGGCAGTAAGAGAAAGGAGAGGCTGACCTCTTGCCAGCTGAGTCTTGCTGAAACTCTGCTGGCTTTTGATAAAAGTCCTGAAAACTCATTGGAGCTGCAAATCTGATTTCAGATAAAATGTTCTCGGAGGGATGTGAACCTGTGTTCAGGAACAGACATTTCTGTACATGTGCAGCAAAGGAGAGACTGGAAATCCAATCCAAGCCTGTTCTTTTGGGAGATGCTGCCTGGAGAAACCCAGCACCAAGTGTCTTCCCAGTGCCTACCCTAAATAATTGCTTTTCCAGTATTTTTCTTTTGAAAGGCTCCTTGTTTCTGCTCAAGGTTCTGCAGTACCTTGGTCTGGATGTGACCGAGGACAAGAAGAGGCAGCTCCGGCAAAGCCTGACCACGGACTCGCAGGGGACTGTGGCCTATGGAGGTGAGCAGGAGCTCTGCCCAGGGGAATCTGACATTTTGTGCAGCTTCACTGGCAGCTAAAAAGGGAAAAAGGGACAGAAGTGGCTGGTGAGACACCTGCCTGGGTAGGGATGGAGCCTATAAATAGGGGAAGCCGCAAACACAAAAGAAGGCATTCTGTAGAATCATGGAATCCTGGAATGGTTTGGGCTGGAAGGGACCTCAAAATTCATCTCATTCCATCAGACAACTTCCACTATACCACGTTGCTCCAAGCCCTGGCCAAGAGGACACTTCCAGGGATGGATCAGCCACAGCTTCACTGTGGAACCTTTACCAGGGCCTCACAGGGAAGAATTTCTTCCTAACATCTAATCTAAACCTACTCTGTGTCAGTTTAAAGCCATTCCCATTGTCCTGTCATAGGTAAAATCAGACTAAAAGAAAGTTGGTGCAACAGTTTACTTTCCTTAAAATCCCAGCTTTCCTAGCAGAAACTGGCCAGAGGAGACACAGAAAATGAAAACCAGTTCTGCTTTCTGTGGCCTTCCAGAGCATGACTGGCCCACAGGATCTGCTCCCCAGAAGGCTTTCAGCAAAAATCCAAAACCATCAGCAATGTCCCCAGCAGAGAGAACAGTCACAAGGCATCTGGATCAATTTTTTGTGTAGAGAGAGGGGTGGGACACAGAACCATGGCCCTCTCCTACGAGTGATAGGAGTTGCAGCTTGTAGAAACAGAAATGAGGATGATTGAGGGTATTTAGCAAATGTGCTGCTTTTGCAGAGAGACTCTGGCTCCTGCTGCAGCACAGGGACCAAGCACCATGCAGGACAGGCTTCAAGGTGGGACCATGTGAACCTCTTGAAGTTCAACAAGGCCAAGTGCATGTTCTGCACCTGGGTCAGGGCAGTTGCAAGCACAAATCCAAGCTGGGTGGAGAAAGGATGGAAAGCAGCCCTGGGGGAGGATTTGGGCTGTTGAAGGATGAGAGCTGGACATGCTCTGGCCGTGAGCACCCAGAAACCCCCCTGGGCTGGGCTGAGCCCTGGTATGGGCAGCAGGAGGGGGGGATTCTGCCCCCTCAGGTGAGACCCCACCTGCAGAGCTGCCTCCAGCTTGGGGGAGCCCTCAGAGCCCCTTCCAGGGCCTAAAGGGACTCCAGGAGAGCTGGAGAGGGACTGAGGACAAGGGATGGAGGGGCAGAACACAGGGAATGGCTTCCCACTGCCAGAGGGCAGGGCTGGATGGGATATTGGGAAGGAATTGTTCCCTGGCAGGGTGGGCAGGCCCTGGCACAGGGTGCCCAGAGCAGCTGTGGCTGCCCCTGGATCCCTGGCAGTGTCCAAGGCCAGGCTGGATGGGGTATGGAGCCACCTGGGATAGTGGGAGGTGTCCCTGCCCATGGCAGGGGATGGAATAAGATCATCTTTATGGTTCCTTTGTGCCCAAACCATCCCATGTTTCTGTGATTCTGTGACTGGAAGCTCAGGGACCCTGGTGCCATCTCCCTGATGGTTCCCACCTGCCCCATGCAGCCCCTTCTGCTGTGCTTTCCTTCATGTCTGAAAGCAAAATTAATGGATTTTCAGACTTGTCAATTTAACGCCTTTTCTAAGTGCTGAACTCACTGAGTTGTGTTTTTGTTTAAATCAGCAACATGAGAAATGGCCAGCAGGTGCCTTTTGTCAGGGAAATGTGGGTTTAGCTTAAAATTTTAAAATTTTCAGAACCACAGTCGTGAAAACGCCCCTGTGAAAATATCTGGGGTTTTCTGGGTTTTAAAAATGTCCGTTTTTTCAGTTGGATAAGAAGCAGGACTCTGATAAAGGCTGTCAACAACTCATTTAAGCCTGATAGGATTTCTGACAAACCCAGGATTACTAGACAAACCTGTCTGGTATCTCTAAACCCTGCTTGGCACCAGTGGATGGCCCCAAAATCGGTGGCATTTTCTCCTAACCCACAGCAATTTTCTCTCTTAGCCTGGTAAAAACTGACTGTTTCTCACAGATGTTCTCCAAGCACTGAGGGATCTGATGCAGGAGGAGCTGGACGAGGCTGGTCTGGATTCCAGCTCTGTGCTCTTCACTCAGCACGAAGTGGCCAATTTGCTGGATACATCAGCTTTTCACTCCCCGGTCAGTCACCACAAAGCTCTGCTACATTGAATCCATGGATCTTCTACATGAAATCCATGGAATTCTGAGATGGGAAAACTTACATTCCCATTTTCTGGTTGTTCTAGAGTTAGAAAGACAAGGCAGAACTATTAATGAATAATTTTTAATAGGAAATTCTATAAAAGACCTCAAACTTCTCATTTTGAATAAGGAAATAACACTATCTATGGGATAATATGAGGAAGCAGCCTGGCAGTAATGCAGAAGGAGAAATAGCCATAATTAATCAATTTAAGTAATTTCATTTGGTTCACAAAGTGAAATTTCATTCTAGCTCAGCTATATCAGCAATGATGGGGATCAGAGAGTGAAATTCTGTGGGGCAAAATGAGCCATCCTGGAGCTGAATTATTTAATGTGTCTTTTGATCTATTGCATAAAAATGCTGACTCCTTTTTTAGGTGATTTTGATTCCGTATGTGATGAGTCTGTCCCTCTCCTTGCAGACCTTTGACTCTCTCAGCTGCAATGGCAGCGAGGACCTGGAGCAGCTGCAGCTGGAGATGAGGGATCTGCGGCACGAAGTCCGCAGGCTGAAGGTGGAGCCTCCCCTTGGAGCAGATTTCTTAGCTGGGGTGTTCTGCTGTAGGAGGGGTGATGGGATGGCCTGTCCCTCTGAAGAGGTCACCAGTTTGCATTCTGTGCATTCCTCGTCACACAGGAGCCTCTCACCCTCCACTCTCCTTAACTGCCTCTTTGTCCCTCTCAGCCTCAAAGGAAAACTTATTTGTACTCAAAGCATGCAGTCCCTTCTCAGCAGGGAGTTAATATATTTAAAAAGCAGGTCTCATTAAAAATTCCAGTGTGTGATTAACAGAAGCAGCACCTGTCCTCTCACCCTCACCTGGCTGTCACCTGGCTGTGAGCACCTCAGCTGTGTCCAGGTGGAATTCTGCAGGTCACAGCTCTAAAAGCTCACCCTGTGTGGGGGGCAAATTGCACAGAACTTCTGTAAAATAATATTCTGGTGGGTAGGGGCATTCTAGAAAATGTCCTGTCATTTGTTGTTTCTAATCTGGTGAAAATATTTCCCACAGTCTCTCCTGAGAGAAGTGGAGAGCAGCAAGAAGTTGATGGAGGATGAGCTTCAGAGGCTGAACCAAGTTAGTGGAGGGATTTCTGGGTGCTGGGGGTGGGTTTGAGGGTTGGCAGCTGAGGGGGACGTGGTGTGTTCATCCGAAGTTCTGGGTCCTTGCAGAAGGCGCTGGGGTTCCTGTCGGAGAACCGGAGCCTGCACAGCAAACTGCAGATGGCTGAGGTGGTGCAGAGACAGGCCCACAGCGCCGAGCAGGACTACGAGGAAGTGATCCACCTGCTGGAGGCTGAAATTGCAGAACTGAAGATGCAGCTGGCGGGGAAAAAAGCAAAGCACGTCTCTGAAATAGAGGTAATGCAACCCCCTGGAAAAACCCACAACCCTCCAGACTCTTCTTCTGTGGCTTCATAGAGTCATGGAATAATTTGGGCCAGAAGAGACCATAAAGCCCAGCTCATTCTAACCCCCTGCCATGGCCAGTGACTCCTTCCACTATCCCAGGTTGTTCCAAGCCCCATCCAACCTGGGCTTGGACTCTTCCAGGGATAGGGCAGCCACAGCTAAGGTTACCCTCCTTCTATTTACACAGAAAATGAAATAGCACATAGATCATTTGCTGCATGGGACCACAAGGCCAACACGGTCTCTGCATCTGTGTTATAATTTGCATAACTTCCACTGTCCCTTCCCAAAGGACACTGCTTTTGCTTGTAGCAAATGCCACAAACTGCTGTTTCCAAAAGTCAAGGCTGGATCATCACCACCACCTTTCTCCCCCTCCTGTGTCCCTGCCTCAGGAGGACATCCTGGAGCTGAAGAGGCAGCTGTCCCTGGCCGATGGTCAGCTACGAAAATCCGAAGTCTCACGGAAGCGCCTGGAGATCTGCAATAGGAAACTGCTCCTGTTTGTGCAGGTGAGGTGTGGACCTGCCCAGCTGCTGCAGCATCACCACGGCCTCTTTCCTTCAGGATGGTTTTGCAAGTCCAATCAACTTCCTCCTCCATAAGCAAGAGGGGTTTTTTTCCTCTGTCTCACTCCGAAAAGTCACTGTCTGTTGGTTAGGAGGAAGCAGAGAATGAATTCAGGTCTCCTCATATCCCTGGGAGCAATGCAAACTCCATGGTGCAGGTTTTGCTGGTGGCTCTGCTTTCCTGGCTCCCTGTGCTGAGGCTGTCAAAATCATCCATGCTCACCTTCCCTTGCGATAGCTCTAAAAATAGGAACCTGGAGAGTGGCTTTGCTCTTCCAGTGCTTTTTGCCCTGGATTTCCTGTAAAATCTCACTGTTTAGTCTTTCAGTTGGTGGGTTTTCCACTTCATTCCCTGTATTGGGAACACCAGTATATGTAATTAATAAACTGGCCAGCATGGGAAGCATTAGTAGTCAGTGTATCTGCTATGGCTACTGATGGCCTGTCCCAAGAACTCTTGAAATCAAGCAGAAACAGTGCTTGAAAAGGAAACATAGATGCTGTGTCCTATGCTCCAGAGACGGAAGAATTAAATGCCTCCAGAGCTTCAGCACTATGTGCTAGAGCCTGTGCAGTTTGGGGTCAGACTTTGGAAATACATCTCACTTGACCCCAGGGTCAAACATCACAGGATTTTGAGCACTGGAGCAAAATGTCTTCTTTTTTTCTCCACCCCTCAGCAGTGTTGGAGAAGTGCATGGTAATGACAGCTTACACATGCAGGTCCAACCCAGGGGCCAGGGGTTGCTGGAAGCCATGATCACTGAAATGCAGCCTGCAAAATTATTCCTTGGAAGAGGATTTTTGTGTTGCATTTCATGTATTTTAGCAGTGATAATAAAATGCAGAATTCAGATGTGTCTGTAGATTCGTGAATGCTGCCTGAGCTGCAAAAGGCCTTGAGATATTTGCTTCAAGGGCAATGAATAAGCAGAAGCTGATTACTGTCATATTAAATCTGATCATCAGGAAAAACCCATGGGGTTTGTTCTCAGGAATTATTCATTCCTACAAGTTTGAAACCCTTTTTTTTTTTTTTTTCTATTGCATGACAGAACATTTACAAGGTCCTGAGCACACACAGTCATTTACCAGATGAGAAAAGGTAGGAGATGGCTTCTGGGAATGGTGAACAGCAACATGAAATGTCCTTTTCTGACCTTTCTCTGGGGAAGGTGCTTCACACGTAACCTACCCAGAGTTTCTAAACATACTTTCACTTTGGAAGTGAAACCATGGGAGAAAGATAATCTGCAGGCTGCTGGTGGGTTAGTGCTGGGGGACTTGGGCCTCTGTTCAGGCTTTTTTTGGGAGTGAGCAGCTGAAACTCAGCTTGGGTTAAATTGCTCTTGTCAGCAGAGACACCAAGCAGGTTGTTTCCGAGCAGCAGAGTTTTGACCCACCTGCTTTTCCAAACATAAACCAGGTTTTGGCTCCAGGACCACATCCTTTTTTATCAGCAGTTAGAGTAGGCAGAGTGTAAGCAAGGAGCTCTCAAGGTTCTCAGCTGCATGAATGGCTGCAGAAGCAGAGCTCAGGCTTCTGGAGTCCCCTCCAACCTGAGCCTATCTCCTATCACTTGGGCATAAATGTATCACAACTCTCCGTGTGTTTTTAACTGATTAAATCATTGAAAAGTCACTGACCCATCGATAATGGCCAGTCCCTTTAAAAGCCAGTTTTTAAGAGGGATGGAAATCAGTTTTTAAGTTTCCAAGTTGGTTATTTCTAATACAATGCAGGGGAAATGCTTTTGACAAATTCTAAAGAATACTTTGCTACTTTTCTGTAACAAAGCAATGCAAGTGTGTCTAACAGACATTTGAATGCGGAGGGATGGAGATGTAACCCCCCAAACACACAGAATTTATGTAGCAGATCCTTCCTGAGAGGCTGGCCAGGATTGTCAATGACCATTCTCTGATAGAAGTATTGATGGCACTTTCCGTGTTTATAAGCGTCAACCATGAAACAGAAGAGGATAAAACAGATGCAGTCTCAGACACATCTCTTCCACCTTCAGATCTTGTTGACCTTTTGCTATCAGAAGCTAAAGAACTGTTAGCACCAATCCTCTCCAACAAGGACGGTAAGCACTAAATTAACTGGAGAAAGCTGAGTCCCAGCAAGTCTCAGGGATCTCTGCCAGTGTTATTGGCAGTTTCCAGCACCTTTCATATTTTTCCATACCAGTTGAGCCTCCCTGATTCTCTCATGCTCACCGAGATGTAATTACCCTATATCCATGTGACTCATCTGGGAATCTGCAATGCAGACTCGCAGGGTATGGAGTCAAAGACTTGTGCCCAGGGCCAGAGGAAAGGCATTTATCCAGGGGAAAAGCCCTAACAGGCAGGAGGAGGGTTTCACAGAATCACTGAAATGCTGGTTGAAAGGGAGTGCTGGAGATCACATCTTCTGCTCCAGGTAGGGCCATCCCAGTAGAAGGGATCTGCAGTGGGTTTAGCCAGCCAGGATGGAAATCCACAGCCTTCCTGGATGGTGTTCCCTCACTGCTCTGTGACAAGGATCTTCCCGGCACCCAGCCTGAGCTCCCCCAGGGGCAGCCTGTGGCCACTGCCCCCAATTACACTGGCTGCACTGCCAAAAACAGCTCAGCTCCAGCATCCTTTAATTGCCCCTGACACAGCAGTGGGGGCTGTGAAGTTGCCTCTCAGCCTCCTCTAAACCAGCCCAGCAGCCTCAGCCCTCCCCAGCCTCTCCCTGCAGGCCTGGGGCTTCCCTTGCTGGATCCTGTCCAGTTTCCCAACAGCTTTAAACCCAGGATCCAAATTTTCTTTCCACCATCCAGGTACTATTATAGCAATGGTGAGTGGAAGGGAACAGTCACCTTCCTGTTTCCTTGGAGTAAAAACCAGCCATGCTCCTTTTTCCTCACATCTGTGAGAAAATCAGGGAACAGCATCCAGCTCCGTGGGAGTCTGGATTAGCTTTCCCAGTCTGGGACTCTGAGCTGGTCCATAAGCCATAAACATTTCTTGCTGGCAATTATTTGACCCTGCTTGTCTCTTCCCCCACAAAATGAGTGTCTGACCTCCTCAGTGTCACGTCCGGGTGAGTGCACAGCCCCAAACAGGTGCCCAGTCCTTGCTCTTTGATGCTATTCACCAGCTCAGCGTGGCCATGGCCCAGCACTGGCTTTGTCTCAAAGCACTAGACACAAAGGAAATAATTGCAGCCTTTCAGGAGCACCTCTGGTTTACGAGTGCTGTCAGCATTTTCTGAGCTCCTGCCCCATTTAAATGTGCATTATCATAATGCAGCAGCATTGGGCATGTTCTCTGCACTAACACTTGGCTCTGTGCTTCCATCTGCAGCTCTGCCATGGGACAGGGACCAGTGCCTGCCTGCTGAAGGAATCCCAAATTACAAGGAGTAGGTGTCAAAACTGCTGTGGTCTGTAATTTGGACAACACAGATACTAAAAATTCCCGTTTGTTTTGCTGGGTTTTTTTAACCAAAACTGTTGCTTGATGACTTTTGATCAGACAATCTAGGAGAGGCCTCCAGATGGCCAGGACAGAGAAATACTGTGAAATTCCTAGACAGAAAGAGACTTCCCACTCTGCACGGTGTGAATTCCTGGATTTCTCTTTTGCTTTATAAAATGCTGGTTTTCCTTCAGGCCAGATGGGAATTTGTGGTTCTGTGGCTTGTCTAGCCAGCATTTTTATAGTGCACTCTGTGTAAGGGAAAAAGCATCACTGAATATGTTAATCTTTTGTGCTATGATATCGAGATGCTGTGAAGCTCCAGACAGGGAAAGCAGGATGACTTGGCTTTGTTTGGACCTTAAACTGTTAAATTTCCCTGAAACCTCTTAAACTGCTTGTATTTAACAGAGCCATTTCCTAAAGTTATCTGAAAGGGCACTTTGAGACCTAAATATCTCCTATTGCTTTCTTAGCTTAACTCAACCTGAAGATCTGCCAGCACAGTTTTTTGTTTAGGTACAAAGTACCCATTTGCAAATGATAATTTCAAGGTTATGAAAAGCATTTTCAGACAAAACAGGCGGTCTGCACAATCTAACCAGGCAAGATCTGTGGCTTCTTCTTCTTTCCTAAATAATGAGTGCTGTCTTCACATTACCCTCTGTGTCCTTCTCCCAAACTACCTAAGGCATATTTCTCCTTTTCAGCCACCTCCATCAGAAGACCACATGGCCCCCTCCTGCAGGCCAGACCAAGAGTGACCAACCACAGCCACCAAGCCCACCGGAACTACCTAAGAAGTTGACATAAATATCCCATGGCTCCGTGGTGCTCCAAACCATGGCCATCCTCCCATGGGAGACAGGAAAGACACGCCCCAGGCACCTCAGCATCCAGGCCAAGCAGACTGAGAACAAGCTTTCTGACACAAGAATCATTCTTCCTAACTATCCAAGACTTTTTCAGCAACCTCCCCTGTGCGTCTACCTCCGAGTTATCATACAAGGCTTTTTGCTCACGGTTTTGCAGCTTTATAGGAAAAATATTCTCATGAGGCTACAGAGGCCTGGATTTCTGTGGCAGCCTTTTAGAGCTTGTATTCTGGGTAGCTTGAATGTACCTGAGGGACTCAGGGGTCTCCAACAGATCCCTTTTGGTATTTCAGATGAAAAACCAAAGTCTATTTAGTGACTGTAATCAAAGCAGCTTAATCCCTAGTGTCCTAGTTGTCTTGGGATAGGTACTTCTCTTTTTATTCTTTTTGTATAGTTTATCCCAGCTGCAGTGCTCGGAGTGGGAAGCAGCACCTCAGGCAGTTGCTGGCCAGAGTCAGGACAGCCAGCGGGGTGCTCCAGCCACAGCGCGGACACCGAGCCCTCCCTGGAACGCGGGGCAGGACATCGTGGGCATAGTGAACATAGCTCACTAAAGGTCCCTGGTGTCACTGGGAAATGACATCCACGTGATGCAAGACTGAGACAGCAGTAGATGGGGATCAGATCTGAGATGGGCAGAGGTCTGGAAAATAAAATGGAAACGCTCCTCACAAGGAGTTTCTCTCTGGTTTCTGATTGCAGCTGCTGTGTTCAGAGTCTCACAGACAAAGACACAGCCTGAAACCGTTTCTCCTCCCTCTTATTTTGGCAGCTCCTGGGGAGATGCATTGAGAAGTTTCAGGAAAATGGGGTACAATCTGGCTTTTACAAATAATTTGTTAAGATTACTTCAAATCTTCTTTGTGGGGGTTCAAAGCATGTGGATCCTTTATTGTCTAAATTAAAGGCTTAGGCAAAATCATGACCCTCACCAGTATCTCCTGCACTCGAGGTATCACTGCACTGCTAAACCAGCAACTGTGTGGTGGAATATATCACGTAAATAACCAGTCTGAAATTTTGGGTAAGTTTAATTTCATAGCTTGGGGTAAATTAAATCTTGGGAATGCATACCTCAGAGTATAAATTAAAGGACTTCTTTTAAAAGGAGACATAATCCTTTGGACTGCTTACAAGGAATATTCCCAGGAAGGAGAAAATATTCATCTCGGGATATCCTGTGTTTAATAGCTCATTGCCCAGTGCTCTCTGCTGTGATGGAATGATAGCAAATCCTGGTGTTACCTGTGGGTTTGGCCCTAGAGCTTTGTTCTCATCCCCTGTGTTACACAGACAGGCAAGAGGCACACACAGCAAAATCCAGTCTCACCAGTCTGGTGTACCCTGGCTCTGGAAAAACAACTCCAGTTCCCCTGGGGTTAAGCAGCAGATCCCAATCTACTCCTGGCAGGGTCTCTCCAAAAGCATTTGGCTGGAGGTGGCATCCTAGGGAGATGTCTCCAGCCACTGCTTGTCACACTTGCCAGGGAACAGCACAAACAGGATTTTGGGAAGGAGCAGGTCTTGGGTTGTGCTGTGTTATTTCATATACCCAGTGCCACTTGAGACACCTGGGAGAAAAGGGCAAAGTTATGTGGAAAACACACCCGTTTAGGCTGCACTTAATCAGCTAGAAAACCAAGAATCTGTTGTGGAATCCACAGAAGTTTTAATACCATCTCTGACAGTCATGGAATACTTTTCTCAAAATTTGAGTACTGAACTCCACCTCCTTGAGTGCTGGAAAGGCACAGACCAGGACTGTCCCAGCAGGGACCAGTTACATGGTCTGAAAGAGAAACTCTGCTTCCACAGTCTGTATTATTCCATAGATGTGTATTTAAGGTCCCAAGAAAGAAGATTTTTTATTAAAGCATCACAGTGGGTGAGGGTTTGGATGAAATAAGCATTGTGTGGTTGGTGCTGGCACCTGGCAAGGGATGGAAAGAAGGGGATGCTGCTCCAAGGCCGCTGTATTTGGGGTCTCCTGAGCTGTTTCCAAAAGAGCTGTGAAGTTCTTAACCTTTTAAACAGCCCCAACAGCTCTGTGCTCTCAGCTTACTCTGGAAAGGAAATCCTCCGTGTTCCCATCAGCCACTGGAGAGCCTCATGTCAAACAAGGATCAAGCATTGCATGCTTCCCAAAGCTTTCATGTTTCTCAGCTGCTTTCCAGTATTTCCTTTGAATTTCCCATATTCCTTGTGCCTTTGCTCCGAGCCCAGCAGACTTCCCTCTCTCTGTTAACCCTGCTGTTCAACACCACCTCTGCAGAGCAGTGCTCAGAGCCAAGCTCCTGGAGGTGACACTGATTTTGGTGACCCAGAATAACAAACCTGTGTCAGGCTTTACTCTCAGGCAAGGGGAATCAGGCAGAACTCAGCAAGGCACAGGGTGACATCTCCTCACAGAACTACCAAGAGGCAAAAGGCAAAATGCATACAGGAACAAACAGCACAGAAAGAGAAGTTATTTACATAGGGTGTCCTTTAGTCACACAGGGCCTGTCTAGCACTCTATAAGAGAGCTGAACTCTGGGTTAATTTGCAATACTTTTGGTTTGCTTGTGAGGTTGTGGAGATGTGCTGCTGTCACAATGTGCTGTGTTTGTCTCAGAGAATGTGCCTTGGAGGGTCCCAGAATGACTGCACAGAAATGAGAAGGAGTATTTGTGATAAAAATGAGACCTGAATGGTGTTAGATCTTCCTGAGTGGCCTTCCAGATCCTGAAGGGATCCTACACAAAAGATGGAGGGGGAGTTTTTACAAGAACATGTAGTAACAGGACAAAGGAGAATTCTTCACATTGACAGAGAGAAGGTTTAGATTAGATATCAGGAAAAACTTCCCTGTGAGGGTGGTGGGGCCCTGGCACAGAGAAGCTCTGGCTGCCCCAGCCCTGGAAGTGCCCAAGGCCAGGCTGGACAGTGTTTGGAGCAGCCTGGGACGGTGGAAGGTGTCCCTGCTCATGGCAGGGGGTGGAACTGGGTGAGCTTTAAGGTCCCTTTCAGCCCAAACCATTCTGTGTTTCCATGATTCTATAATAAGCTGGAATATGGCAAATATTTTATGAGCCAAAATGCAGAGAGACCCCCACAGACAGAGCATGTCAACACACTGCAGGTGATAAACTCCAAAAGATGCATTTAAAGAGCATCAGCGGGATCAGCTGTTGAGCTGGAAACTTTGGGGGTTAAACATTACTGATGTGATGGATTTATTTTGTATTTCTCTTATGCAAAGCAGAAATTCAGCTCTTAGCTGCTGGTGGATCAGAGGCTGGCAGACCCCTCTGCCTCACTAAACAAATCAAACCAAGACTGGAGCATGTATTTCAAAAGCTGCAGAAGCAGAGAAGGCGGGGCAGGGAGCACCGCGGCATTGTCTCGGGAGGTGAATGTAGCAGAGCCATTAGCACACTGTTCATCTGCAGTCCCACGGGGAAAGGAACCCAACCTCAGCCTGCTGGTCTCCAGTTTCATCTCTGCCATCTCGCTGGGTGACCTTGGGCAGCACATTTCATCTCAGGTTTGCGCCAGAAAACAAAAGGGACTGAGAGTGGCACGGGCAAGGCAAAGCCCAAAGGGATCCGCGGGATGTGGGGCAACCTCCTGGCACAAGGGGGTCTGTGAGTGCCGTGGGGTTGGGTACTGCTGCTCTGGTTTCAGTCAAGACAGCCTCAGTGTTTCAACTTTTCCTGGCTGTCGGAACAGCAGCTCCAGCTTTTGCTCAGCTCTGGTGAAACAGAGCGAGATGAAGTGTTAAAAGGTGTCGTTAGAGAGGCGTGCAGGTGCAGAGGTGAGCTCCAGCCCAGAACAGTGCCGAGGAGTAGGATGCTGTGTCCATCCCAGCACTGCAGGCTGTGTGGGGAGCCTCTTCCTCCCAGCTCCACTGTGACACCTGGACTGCAGCCCATGTTTAGAGAGTGGAATACGCCTCCACGCTGCTGAAATGAGGCTCTAAAAGGCACGTGAACTTTATTGCTGAATTTTTAAAGCAAGCCTTTAATGTTTAACCAGTGCTGATTTTCTAAGGGTTGTTGAACACGTGTGGCAGAGGGCAGAGCAGCTCCCAGAGTGACAGTGCAGAAAGGGCTGGGCTGGAGGTGTGAGGCTGCCTTTTCCTTTTCCTTTCCCTTTTCCTTTCCCTCAGGGATCCTTCCCCTCCTCAGGGCCGAGTTACCCCAGCACCTCCACCACAAACCACTGCATTTTCTGGCCTCGCCGACTGCAGCTTTGCCACAAACCTCCTTTGCAACTTCTTTCAGTGCTTTCCCAATAAGGTAGACAGGAATAACAATACCATGAACAATCCCAAACAAGCTTTTTCCTGCATGTGACGTGCCAATGCACTTGAATTGCTGTTGATTTTTTTTTAATTTTTGCCACCAGATGAGGCATAAAAGTTGAGGCAGAAGCAGAATTTGAAGTGAAATGCCCTTGTAATGGGGGAAGTGGAGGCTGAATGCTATCTCCAGACCAGATGTCCTTCCTGGAAGACATTCTCCTTTCTAACTGCAGGAGTTCCTGGGCTGAGCTGCTGAGGGTGAGAGTTTCTTTCTGAGGAGCTCCCATGAGAAAAAACGGAGGGTCAGTGCCAGCCTTTGAGGCAAACACCCAGTCCTGGTAGGTGGAAGGACGGTCAGGCCCTTGGGAATGCCCTGGAGAGTTGGCCCAGTGTCAGGGGAAAAGGCAGCCCACTGACACTGGAAAATGCCAAGGTGACCTTCTGGCAGGAGGAGAAAACAAGTGTTGGAAAATAGGAATTACAGTCAGGGCTGCACAGCAGAGAAAAAGATGGATTAGGACTCACCAAAATCTCATCCAGCTTTTATGACCTGAACAAAAGGGAAACAACCACAATTAAGGCACAAAGTAGTTACAGGCTGGTGTAAATTCTGCAGCAAGAAGAGGGAAATAGTGCTTTATTCTTTCTTCTGTTTTCTCTGAGGAAATTTAGCAATAAATGAGGAACAGGAGAGACATACATTTCTTTAAAAAAGAAAGTTGCACTGTGATGGGAAATTCAGAATATTTATTTATAAATAAATACATTTTGTTTTTATTCTGAATATATATTTATAAAGTAGATGTTG